CGTCAAATCACGTCAAGACACGTCACGTCATCTCACCTCACCTGACCTAACTTAAGAGCAGGGAATGCTACCCCTCAGTTACTGATTGATGCGCACAAGTCTACTGCGCAAACCTAACCCAACCTAACGTAACCTAACCTACCCTCGCCTCGCGTCGCCCCGTCTCGCCTCGCCAAGCCCCGTCTCGCCTCGCCTGACGTCAAGTCACGTCAAATCACGTGAAGTCACGTCACGTCGCGTCAAATAACGTGAGGTCACGTCAAATCACGCAAAGTCACGTCATGTCACGTCAAGTCACGCCAAGTCACATCTCGTCACGTCAACTCACGCCACGTCACGTGAAGTCACGCCAAGTCACGTCATGTCACGCCAAGTCACGTCATGTCACGCCAAGTCACATCAGGTCACGCCAAGTCACGCCGAGTCACGCCACGTCACATAGTCACGAAACGTCACGTCACCTCACCTTACTTCACCTCACCTAACTCAACAGCAGGGATTGGTACCCCTCAGTTACTGATTGATGCGCACAAGTCTATTGCGCAAACCTAACCGAACCGAACCTAACCTAACGTAACCTAATGTAACCTAACCTAACCTAACCTACCCTCGCCTCGCGTTGCCACGTCTCGCCTCGCCTCACGTCAAGTCACGTCAAGTCACGTCAACTCACGTCAAGTTACGCCAAGTCCCGTCAAGTCACCTCAACTCACCTCACCTCACCTATCTTAACAGCAGCGATTGGTACCCCTCAGTTACTGATTGATGCGCACAAATCTACTGCGCAAACCTAACTTAACCCAACCTAACCTAACCTAATCCAACCTAACTTAACCTAAACTGACCTGACATGACCTAACCTAACCTACCCTACCCTACCCTACCCTAGCCTAGCCTAGCCTCGCCTCGCCTCGCCTCTCCTCGCTCCGTCTCGCTTCGCCTCACTTCCAGTCACGCCAAGTCAAGTCAAGTAACATCAATTCACGCCAAATCACGCAAAGTCACGTCACGTCTCCTCACCTCACCTCAACTCACCTCACCTCACCTATCTTAACAGCAGGGAATGGTACCCCTCAGTTACTGATTGATGCGCACAACTGAACGGCGCAAACCTAACCTAACTTAACCTAACCTAACCTATCATAGCCTAACCTAACCTAACCCAACCTAACATACCCTAGCCTAGACTCGCCTCGTCTCGCCTCGCCACGCCCCGTCTCGCCTCGCCTGATTTCAAGTCACGTCACGTCGCGTCAGATCACGTGATGTCACGTCAAATCACGTGAGGTCACTTCAAATCACACAAAGTCACGCCAAGTCACGTCACGTCAAGTCACATCTCGTCACGTCAACTCACGCCACGTCACGTCAAATCACGTGAAGTCACGCCAAGTCACGCAAAGTCACGTCATGTCACGCCAAGTTACATCAGGTCACCCCAAGTCACGCCGAGTCACGCCAGGTCACATAAAGTCACGAAACGTTACGTCACCACACCTTACTTCACCTAACCTAACTTAACAGCAGGGAATGGTACCCTCAGTTACTGACTGATGCACAGAAATCTACTGCGCAAACCTAACCTAACCCAACTCAACCTAACACAACCCAACCTAAATTAACCTAACTTAAACTAACCTAATCTGACCTAACCTATCCTAACCTAATCTAGCTTAGCGTAGACTAGCCTCGCCTCCCCCGTCTGTCTCCGCCTCACGTCAAGTCACGCCAAGTCACGTGAGGTCACTTCAAGTCACTTCACGTCACGTCAAATCACGCCAAGTCTCGTCAAGTCACGTCACCTCACCTCACCTCACGTCAAATCACGTCAAGTCACGCCAAATAACGCCAAGTCATGTCAAGTCACCTCACCTCAACTCACATCACCTCACCTCGCCTATCTTAACAACACGGAATGGTACCCCTCAGTTACTGATTGATGCGCACAACTGAACTGCGCGAACTTAACCTAACTTAACCTAACCTAACCTAACCTAAGCCAACCTAGCCTACCCTACCCTATTCTCGCTTCGCCTCGCCCCGTCCCGCCTAACCTCACGTAAAGTCGCGTCAAGCCACGCCAAGTCACGTCAAGACACGTCACGTCATCTCACCTCACCTGACCTAACTTAAGAGCAGGGAATGCTACCCCTCAGTTACTGATTGATGCGCACAAGTCTGCTGCGCAAACCTAAACTAACCTAACCAAACCTAATCTACCCTCGCCTCGCGTCGCCCCGTCTCGCTTCGCCTCACGTCAAATCACGTGAAGTCACGTCACGTTGCGTCACATCACTTGAGGTCACGTCAAATCACGCCAAGTCACGTCAAGTCACATCTCGTCACGTCAACTGACGCCACGTCACGTCAAATCACGTAAAGTCACGCCAAGTCACGTCAAATCACGCAGACACACAAAGTCATGTCATGTCACGCCAAGTCACGCCACGTCACATAAAGTCACGAAACGTCACGTCACCTCACCTAACTTAAGAGCAGGGAATGCTACCCCTCAGTTACTGATTGATGCGCACAAGTCTACTGCGCAAACCTAAACTAACCTAACCAAACCTAATCTACCCTCGCCTCGCGTCGCCCCGTCTCGCCTAGCCTCACGTCAAGTCACGGCAAGTCACGTCAAATCACGTGAAGTCGCGTCACGTCACCTCACCTCCCCTAACTTAAGAGCAGGGAATGCTACCCCTCAGTTACTGATTGATGCGCACAAGTCTACTGCGCAAACCTAAACTAACCTAACCAAACCTAATCTACCCTCGCCTCGCGTCGCCCCGTCTCGCCTAGCCTCACGTCAAGTCACGGCAAGTCACGTCAAATCACGTGAAGTCGCGTCACGTCACCTCACCTCACCTAACTTAAGAGCAGGGAATGCTACCCCTCAGTTACTGATTGATGCGCACAAGTCTACTGAGCAAACCTAGCCTAACCTAACCCAACCTATCCTAACCTAACATACCCTTGCCTCGCGTCGCCTCGCCTGACGTCAAGGCACGTCAACTCACGTCAAGTCACGCCACGTCACGTCAAATCACGTGAAGTCACGTCAATCACGTAAAGTCACGTTAAATCACGCAAAGTCACGCCAAGTCACGTCAAGTCACATTAGGTCACGCCGAGTCACACCAGGTCATATCAAGTTCGATACGTCACGTCACCTCACCTTCACGTCACCTAACTTAACAGCAGGGATTGGTACCCCTCAGTTACTGATGGATGCGCACAAGTCTACTGCGCAAACCTACCCTAACCTAACCTGACCTCGCCTCGCGTTGCCCCGTCTCGCCTCACGTCAAGTTACGCCAAGTCACGTCAAATCACGCCAAGTCGCGAATAGTCACGTAAAGTCACGTCAAGTCAAGTCACGGCGAGTCACGCCAAGTCAAGTCACGTAACGTCACGTCACCTCACCACACTTCACCTCACCTCGCCTACCTTAAGAGCACGGAATGATACCCCTCAGTTACTGATTATGCGCACAAGTCTACTGCGCGAAACCTAATCTAACCTACCCTCGCCTCGCCTAACGTCAAGTCACGTCAACTCACGCCAAGACACGCCACGTCACGTCAAATCACGTGAAGTCACTTCTACTCACGTCAAATCACGCAAAGTCACGTCACGTCAAGTCACTCCAACGCACGCCGAGTCACGCCAAGTCACATCAAGTCACGAAACGTCACGTCTCCTCACCTCACTTCACCTCAGTTACTGATTGATGCGCACAAGTCTACTGCGCAAAGCTAACCTAACGTAACCTAACCAAACCCAACCTAACCTAACCTACCCTCGCCTCGCTTTGCCCCGTCTCACCTTGCCTCGCCTCACGTCAAGTCACGTCAACTCACGTGAAGTTACGCCAAGTCACGTCAAATCACGTCAAGTCACGTCACCTCACCTCGCCTAACTTAACAGCAGGGAATGGTACCCCTCAGTTACTGATTGATGCGTACAACTCTACTGCGCAAACCTATATTAACCTAACCTATCCTAACCCAACCTAACCTAACTTAATCTAACCTAACCTAACCTATCCTAGCCTAGCCTCGCGTCAAGTCACGTGAGGTCACTTCAAGTCACTTCACGTCACGTCAAGTCACGTCAAATCACGCCAAGTCACGTCACGTCACCTCAAGACACCTCACTTAACTTAACAGCAGGGAATGGTACACCTCAGTTAATGATTGATGCGGATAAGTCTACTGCGCAAACCTAACCTAGCCTAGCCTAGCCTAACCTAGCCTCGGCTCTCCTCGCCCCGTCTCGTCTCACATCAAGTGACGCCAAGTCACGTCAAATCACGCCAAGTTACATCAAGTCACGTCACGTCACTTCATGACACCTCACCTCACCTCACCTAACTTAATGTTGTTGGAGGATGTGTCAAGAAATAAATGCCCCCCCCCTAGATTTCAATATGACATGTTTTACGTTCTGTATCCATTTGTGACCTATTTACGGACTCTTCATCTCTCTACTCGGGCAATGTCTATTCCGTCAACCTTCGCAGTTTCTTTATTTCCGTTTAGAATTTTGATGAAGTAATTGGGAAGAAAAGGAGGGTCAAAGGAAGAGGTGGAAAGAGGAGGGGACGAGTGAAAAGTGGATGGGTGTCCTCTTTGAGAAGCTAAGAGTTGCTCATTTAGTGAATAGGTTCCCAACATTTTTTGGAACCCGAAGTTTCATTATCGTGTTCACAACAATTCGCCACTGGTCAGTGTCCTGAGCCATTTCAATCTACTCTTCGCTTTCCAGTCCTATCTAAGATCTACTTTAATTACTTCCTGTATACGTCTCTGTCTTCAAACGGCCTTTTCCCTTCAGGGTTTTCTGACTAAAGCGTTATATATTTATATATATACTTCTTTTGTGAGTCGCATAGGAGTTACGTGTCCAACCCATCCTCTGATGTAATAGTCCTTGTAATATTTGGCTAGGAGCAGAAATCAAAACATGTTCTAAAATTTAAATTACATTCCAGTGGATAGAAATGAATATCATCTTTATTTATATTTTATTATCTCTTTCAAATTCAATCGAAGTTGCTTGTACAAACTGATGAACGTATCCAGCATCCTCTATCGGTACCAGAAATCGAGTTACAGTCTTCATGGCGTGGTGCTTTTTCAAGCACGAATCGTCACATCCGAAAATCGGAATTCTCCCAGAATTCTGTGGCAGTTAAGTTCCCATGGTTACATGACAGTGCTTCTGAAATAAAGAGATTTGTCAGATCAGTAAAGCGCCCATGTTATTTCGAGTGAAATAAACTGTTAGTTAAATGGAAGGCTATGAAATGTTGTCACGAAAATTACTAAGAAGATTACCCGATGGCTGAAATTAGGTAATAGCTTCCTCTTCTTTCATTGACGTGTTAGGCTTCATGGCCTGTTCCCATTCAAAATTAATTCTGCAACTATGAATCTTACAGGCAGTTGGTGAAACTCCTTGGACGGAGGATCAGCCCTTCGCAAGGCCTCTCCTACACAGGACAACACAAACACAGAAAGAACGCTCACATACATACATCTATGCATCAAGTGTGATTCGAATACAAGATCCCAGTGTTCAATCTTAATCGGTCAAGCATTTTTCAAATTTATCGGCATTTGGGCCCTTGTTCGTTAACTTTTGATAGCACCCCCTATTGCAGTTTTATTTAGGGCCATGGGTTCTATAAATAACTGAAGTGTAATCGAAATCGTTAGAGCCGTTTTCTAGAAAGTCACTATTTTATTAATAGGATCCCTATTTTGAGGGCTAGTATACTGGCATTAACCCGGCACCGAACTATGATGGAAAACCTCTTAAGTTTCCAATACGGATTAAATCTGCCCAACTGTACTTCGTTCAGCTAACCCACACAGATCACAAAATTCATGACTATTCACGTGGTTCATAATTTGTTTTCCAGCCCCCAGCATTGTGTTCAGGCCTGCTGGCAGCAGGATCTCCAGTGACATCTACCGTCTACGTACAGCTTGTGAATTACGCGCCGCCAATGGGCAAATTGAGATCGGAGCGAAATTTTGGTGAGTCTATGAAACCGTATGATTAGCCCTAAGTGCGACTGTTCTCAGTTCCCAACCGAGACTCATTTCAGAACCTCTAAACTAAGGATTACAAGTATTTGCCGCTAGATTAAGCCATGAAACATATATATTTAAGTTTTTCAACTCTACACCATCTTTATAGTCAATGTAAACTATAATAAATTACTATAATTTGAAATTTTAAGGAGGAATTTTAGGTTATAACCGGCCTTCACCCTGTCTATTTGTTAGGTTGTAGGAGTCTAATGTGAGAATGTGGTTACAGCGAATAGGAGCTACTATTGCAGGTGAAATAACAACGGGCACAACCTATTATTTTGTCGCCTAGTGAAAACATTAATTAGAATTTCTAAACATTATTCCAAGATTTTTAATTCGGCACTTATAGATTCAGCAAGATTGCCAGCACTAAGCCACAGTGGTCACAGAGTGAAAGAGAATTTCATGTTTATACTTTGAAACACGTTATTTTGGCTACAGAGATGATCACAAATGGTATTACGGAAAGAGTTGAAAGGTGACGGTTATGATGTATTTGAAATTACTTCCAGCAAGTGTATATCGTTACCTCTAAACAGATCTTTCGAATGAAAGCCAGAATTGTGGCTTCAAAGACGGAGGCAACTGGAGAACCTCGTTGTAAACTGCCATACCAGTGAATATAGGGAGGAAACAGAAAGACAGCGCAGGGATCGACCCCCCTCTCCAAATCTTCTGCAACCTGTTACATTCCCCTGTCCAGTGAATCACGTGATAACCTTCGCTGATGGGACGCGTTTTGTTTGGTTAGAGGGGCATGCAACAGTAAGCTGGAAGGGAGAAGTCACCCACGCCACCCATGGGATTTCCTTCCTTCGCCTCAGTACAGTTTTCTTCCTTGAAAGATTGCTTGTAGCACCGTGACCTGCACAATCTGCACTTCTGCGTGTCAGAGCTGATGTAATGTGAGCGTCAGAAGCAACATTTTATTATTTACATGTGAGTTATAATCGTGTTTACCTTATCGCGACTGACTTTATTAGAACTTCTCCCCGACAGGTTTAATGGTGAGCTCGTGGATCTGAAACAGATGGAAAATAACGTTAATCACTCTTCCTGCCACAGGACACTCATACCAGACCATCTGAACGAATCCCTACCTCGTACGAGCTGGACATGATCCAGAAATTATTCATCTCACGTACGAATTTGCAGATCTCATTAAGAAATCAGATTTGGAATGGGGAGACTCAAGACTATCGCAAAATTGTCGAATAGTAGGCCCTACACCTTTATTTTGCGGCTATGTATTCGGGTACCTCATTGACCTTGAGATCCTTTTATTGTAGAGGCAATGTGATAATTGCGGATATGATCACAATGCAGACAGAGTCCCTGCAATATGAACCTTGGTAAGGAATGCCTTCTGTAGGCAACCTTACAGATGAGCAGTTCCCTGATGTTTCAAGAGTATGCTTCTCTGCGTAACGCCATGTAGTTCGGAGAGATTCTGGCGTTTCGGAGGAACATATCTTCTGCTTCTGCTGTTCATTCCTTGCATTACTCTTCAGCCCCGGAGATGGAAGCGACATGTTACTCCGAATCATCAAACTGTCTTAAAATTATACGAAGCTAGATCTCATAAAGCCGTACTTTCAGTCACCGCTGTGCGGGACTTAGATGATTTCCGATCGGCATGTAGACCCTTTTCTAAGTAATGACTCTGTAAACAACGCCTGTTGCTAGACAACAGATTCCTAACAAGCACGAATGGATTAACCGAAGTTTTTTTTATAACATTGTTATAAGAGTGTTTTTTCGCGCGGATGAAAATTTCATCCAATTATCCGAAACAGATGTAACTAATTAATTCAGAAAATTGGCGTTTATGCCAAGAATGCAAGACGTAAATGGGTTGTACGAACTCACTCTCGCTTCCGGTGATAAACGTTCAAGGTTTTCATTATCATCACATGCGACACTTGGACCGTACTTTATATGGTTCAGTACCGAAGTACGTGAAGTGTGTCTGTGTGGTAGGATATTCTCGTTGTAGGCAAGAGATATTATGCCTCATGGTTATGACCGTCAACACTACACTAAAGCGGAATATCTTCAGATGAAAAGAAAAACATATATTGATGTGTGTCTTACTTATTTCATATACGAGCATGTGTTTTTGCTACATGTTTCGACCTATGATTTAGGCCATTATCAGACACCTTCTATTTATATAACCCAAGTTATTTAAGTTAATTGTCCCAATATGTATCCATATTGTTGAACTGGTGTCTGCTGTTGGATAACTTTCAATGTTGCTTAAATGCAGAGAAAAAATGACGGACACTTTACATTTTTGTACATTTGCACGTATTTCGAGTGTAACTTGGCACGCGTAACTCTCTAAATGTTAATGGGAAATAAAGAGGGTTGAAAACATGAACTGTTGAACAAATGTGTGTTCAATCACATTTTTCTTTTCAATTTTACAAATTCAGAGAAGGAAAAATGTTTTCTTTTTCTTTAAATCTTAACTTGAGCGCTGATGGTCTGACTTGTATGAAATTCTGCATTGGATGGCTTTGCACAAATTTGCAGGGTAATGTCTAGTCTAGTATCTAAACCTAAAAGTGGCGAACAGATTTTAAAATTTCGTTACAGACAACTTTCACTAAAAACTGTACAGCTGTTCTGACTTTCAGCCATACTGGTCCATAATGAAGTTCCGTTTAACGAAGACCATTAATGAACTTCTTTATTTATAATGTAGCATGTAGACTCGGTGCTATGTAATGACTCTACAAACAGCCGTTACTAGGTAATAGCCGCAACAGATTCCTATCACGCACCAATTGAGTAACTGGGAGGTGGTTTCCTCTACGAGGGCCGTGAAACAGCTACGTAAAGCAGCAATAGAATTGTTGGGAAAGCTGCTTCATAGGTGGTCTGTACCGAGACTTTATAAGCAGGAAAGTCTTAGAGTTTAGTTAGTTGTGAGACAGTAAGGGCGGGAACACGGAAGCTGATGAAGCTACGGCATTGGAAGCCGTTACCAGACGACAACCGCTGAACATACTGCTGACTGAAAAGACTTAGTGCTTTTCTGTATTGCAGTTTAGAGTTTGTGAATTAGCGATAGCGCTGTAGTTACTTGCAGTGACAATCTGTAAATGTTCAATAAATCCAGCTACAAATCCACACCCCGTGTATAGTAATTCCCAAACAAACGTGACAGTTATCATACTTCATTATGTGAACAATCCAACTCTGGGCCGAGACAACGACTATCTTGACAAGTTTTCGTCGTTTTACACAATCCCTCCGATACTGGGATAGTACCGTAAACTAAGAATAAACTGTTTCCTTCCGCATGCTTTCCAGTTCACAATAATGTAGTCATTCGACACTGTATGTTGCAAGTTACTGACAACGTCGTTAAATAAGCAACAAATCAGATTATTTGACATGCCGACAGTAAGATTTATGAGGCGCATATGACGCGCTGGGAATTTTGTGTATTACAGTTTGGAGTCTTGCCCATACATTTTGCGACCTGCATCTGCTATCACCTGATATATCACATACTGTTTTGAGATTCATTGTTGCCCTTACGCAATTTCGGGTCACCACGGCAACGAACTGCCGAGCGTTAACTCGTTCCAGTAATGTAAGTTAGCTAGTATGCCACGAACATGCGAACAGTCGTTTCAGTCGGTCTATCATGTCTATTCTGTGAGTACTTATATTTTGAAGCGGATATATGAAGTGTAGTATACCACACATATGTACAGGAAACGGTATAAAATTGGCCATTTGTGTGTGTTATTCCTGGGAGGTTGCGATAAACGACGACTGCTGCTTTTTTCGCATTTTATGTCAATGAACCCAGAATCTCTCGAATACGAGTAGTAGGCCAGTCCGTACCTGTACATGTGGAGGGACTCCAAGCACATACAAAACAGCATCTGCAATGTCCTTGGCGTCCAAGTGAGGGATGCTAGAATATATCTGTTTGGGATCTACATCCCTTCCAGACGCCGCCATGAATTCTGTTTCCACCACTCCGGGGCTCACACTCTGAAAAGGAAATGAAGCCACTCCTGAGTACAGTATGAAAGATTTGTGGGGCTTTACAAAAGTGTGTTTCAAGTTTACTATACAGAGTGTTCCAGGAAGAAAGGTCAATAATCTGGGAGGTCATAGTATCCGTCATTCTACGCAAAAATGTACATAGACATGCATCCTATTTCACTGTACACTTCCAAAACTGTTGATAAGAAAGAGAGATTAAGTACTGTTTCTAATACCGGCATTTATTGTTCACATGACAATGTTGGTACAGTTCATCTAGTATAATAAATTTTCGAAAACTCCACCGTCAACATCAACAAAATCATAAAGGGGTCCTAATGAAAAAACTCTGAGGCTTCTAGTCGGCAAGCGAACTATACCGACCGAGCGACCGCCGTTTGCCGGCGAAGTTAGTGCCAAGTTCAGTGGATAGAGGGTGTAACGTGGTCAGCGCAACGAATACCCACGGTCGTTAATTTCGGGTTTCTGCACCGGAGCCGCTATTTCCTTGAAATAGCTTGTCAGTTATCCTCATGAGGATGAGTGGACACCGTTTCACAAAACTTGGTAGCGCCGGGAATCGAACCCGGACCTCCGTAATCTGTAGCCAGGAATTCTGACCACTAGACCATAGAGGGTCCAAGTACACACAATAAAATATTGGTGCCATGCAATTCTTTACCGTGGTTTCCCCGCTCACATCTGGGTATTTAGGGCATACATCTAGAAATGCACATAACAGGTCATCTTGAATTAGAATGAACACAGTAATAACACAAAGAATTAACAGCAGAACCATAAGATACAGAATAATGAAACAGCCACTACTTGAATTAAAATAATTCTCACCAAGCATGACAAAAGAACTTTGTAATTTGAATATCTTAAATAAAAAGACCATCTGATAGAACTAGATGTAGAGTACGGCACATAACAGTCACTTTACACTCACAGAAACCCGTATCTTTGAGTTCTGCTTAACCAGTTCCCGCCTGAGCCCCTCAGTGAGCGCTGTGACGGCGTGCTTCGCTGCGCAGTACATGTGGACGACAATATCCAAGTTCGGAATACTGTGACCTGCGATACTGTGAAGTAAAGCAGAAAAGAATATCAGTTACAAGAAAAGTTACATGAGCTACAGTAAGATTTCAAGAGAGCTTAGCCGTGAATCGAAGTAAAGCATAAAGGAAAATCAGTTACAGGAAGTTTTAAATGTACTACAGTTTGCTTTCTAAAGTACCCCACCATCAAGTGAACTGAAGCCGTATGGGTCGGCTAGACTTGCCAGTGAGAGCACCTCACTCTTCACCGAGAGTTCCGCAAGAAACCTCACTGTATAAACATGTGTTAGTGAGAACTGGGGGAACATCAATTGGAAAGCCACAAATAACTTGCAGGATACGACTGCCTTGTGAGTCACCTGTTAATATGAACAATGTGTCCATCATCCACTCCCTTCTCCTTCATGGACTCGAGCGCTTCCTTGGTGCAGACACTCAGCGCTAGGACATTCAGGTCCAGGATTCGTCTCCAGTTCTCAGCTGGGCCGGCTAGAGATACAGAACGTCAGTTAGTTTAACGCGAACATTTCTGTGGCACATGAATGACGGGAAACTGAAATGGGTTATCAGAGTTTGTGGTACAGCGGTTCTCCGACATATATTCTAGGGTCAAAGAACAGTGAAGTTCTCCACAGTGCTGTTGGTTCATATCAGAGTCTACGCTGAAAGCAGAAACTTAATTATATTCTGTACATGGTTGCAGGTACTTCTTTTGCCTTACTTTGTACTTCATCCATCGTGTGGTATGTAAAAGACAAAAGACCACGACGTTTCGGAGACTGGTCTTTTGCTTTTACATACCAGACGTTGGATGGAGTCCAAACCAAGCCAAAAAGAAGTATAGTATACACTATCGTCAGAAAGCTTTCAAGTCTATGGTTGCAGGTCCCTATCAGACTGCACGGTGACAACAGGAGCCTAAATACCTTTAAAGTTCTGTACATTTTCAGCAAGCTAAAACATTGAGAACGGATTTGAGGTGCCGACTGAGAAGATTACCGTCTCAGGGCAATACCCCTCATGTTGGCACATTCCAAAAGATTGTAGTTTTTGAACGTGATAGAGTTGGAACGGGCCTAAGATTGCCGTATCCCGTGTGCCTGTGGCAGTGGTTGATAATATTCACGGTACGTACTTATAAGTTTGCTGTTATAAGCAGCTCCTGCGTTGTTGATGAGGATGTCGACTCCACCGAGGTTAGTTTTGATCCACTTGAAGGCCGCCTGAACTTCACTCTCCTTAGTAACGTCACATTTCAGAGCGTGCAGTTTACCCGGTGCGGATTTCAGGGAGGCGGCTAGCTCCTGAAACACAGCACGTTTATTCCTGCGCTTAATTGATTAATCACCGTAGTATGGATCCAGATGAGAGGGTGGGGGTGTAGTCCCACTACTGCTAACCTGAGCACTAGAAGCAGGTGACTGTTACGATGTGCCTGCTCTACTAACTTCCGTATTTTTATAGACAAGACGAAGAGTAATTGATAAAGAAGCGAAGAGCCTGTTCAGTTCTCGAAGACGCTGGGCAGTTTTAGAAAAATTAGGCGAAGGAAACAGGGCACGTGGTAGCAATATCGGTTGAGGCACTATTTTACAAGCTAGAAAGTCGCGAGTTCGATTCCAGATGTGGTCATTGGATTTTCCAATTTGTCTAATAATACCAGACGCACTGTGGCCCTGGGGTCGACTTAGCCTGTAACAGAAATGAGTATCAGGAATCTTCCTGGGGCTAAAATGCGGCCGGCGCGTAAGGCTAACGGGCTCATCACCATATATTAGCCGACTGACTAGAAAATGTGGGATCCTCGACGTCTCACGAGCCTCTAAGTCCCCATGGCCTGTTACAGGGAAAGATTTATGTAATAAACGAGGAGACTTGCGTGAAATTGTCAACGGCCTTCAATATTTTTAAAAATTTATTTCTCAAAAAGAATTTCACAACTGAACAATATTAAATGTAGCATATCACTAGTATCATCATCATTTGTGGGAAGTTTAGTTCCTCATAAAACTTTAACAGAAGGAAACGGGAGTGGTAACTGAAAGTGGTTATTAGTTCCTAATATAATTACCGGACAGGAGTTGTAAGTCACGTGGTTTTCATGACGGTGAAAATTTGAAGTGTCGTCAAAACCGGTTAGTCTCATACATGGTTACCTTAGTTTCGGAGGAAAATACTGCTTACGTCTTCACCTCCACCATAGTCTCCTGAAGAACTTGCCACCTTTATCTGCTTCTACAGGCAGCAGGCTCCTCCGAAACATTGGCAGCCACGAACCAGATTTCAGGTTGTTGTAACTGCAGAAGACTACAACATGAAGTTACCTCAATCCTCTCCACTCTGCGCGCCAGTCCGACCACTTTGAGTCCTTTCTTCACGAGTTCTTTAGCGATGGCTGCTCCTATCCCGGCACTGGCTCCTGTTACCACGGCAACACGACCTGACCAACGCTCCATTTTAGTCTCAGTACTGAAACAAATTTGTGCGCACTTTCAGACGGTCTGACACCGGTACATTTTCTGTCTGTTCTTGGTAACTACGAGTGAGGGTCAGTAAACAGGCCACAAATGCATATGAAACGTAGATCATCTGATATTCAAACCTCGGAAAAACACATTTATTTTCTCGACAAATCCGCCAACAGCACTAATACAGATAGACTTGAAAGGATTCTGACGATGGTGTATGCTGTACAGAACTACGTATAAGGCTTATTTTGGACTATATCCATCGTCTGGTATATAGAAGACAAAAACCACAACGTTTCGGAGACTGACTCTGTCTCCGTCCTAAGGTGGATGAGGCAGGATAAACGTACTCAGTTGGGCCCGGTAGAAAGAGCTAGTCTGAATCACTGGACAACAGATCTGTAGCCAGGAACTCTGACCACTAGACCACAGAGGCGGTCTTTATGACGACTCACATGTAGGAAGCATACGTAAAGAAACGTGTGCTAGCATGTTACATGTATAAGACGATTTACACAAAAACCTCTTAAACATAAAAGGCTTAATATATGTACCTCACATTTGTAATGCTTGATGTACTTATCTATAAGACGGTTCGTTACAGAAAATGTAAGCATCTGAAATGTTCAAAAGCATGTACAGCCACAGACAGTGACCTTGATCTAACTTTCAGCTACTGAGATACAAAACAGATAGCCCCGAAGATGACACTAGATATCGAAGCATGCCGGGTAAACAACCAATTTAAATCTGTTGTAACTGACGATATGTGATAAATGATGAATAGCGTTAGGGATTACAAGGGTACGCAACTCAACTTAAAAAGGCTGGCACGTTTATAGAGTTTGGTTATAGACGGGGTTTGAATTGGAAATCAGATTTATTGCACAATTTTACAACTCGTTATTACACTTCACTAATCACTATCACGAACAGACTAGTGTTCTCAGTCTGTTACTGTCTCCCTATAGCCGTTGCTTGGTACCGGCCTTCGACGTTGTACGTTCCGCTTTACTTGGGGTGGTGTGAATATGAGTCCACTTGGTACGTCGTCACTAACTGGCTATTCTACCAGCCCCGAATGATAGATGATGAGTGTGGAGCAGTCGGTTGAATGAGAATATGCAGGGAAACCGAAGTACTCGGAGACAACCTTCTACGTTGGTACTTTGTCCACCACAAATCCGACATGACCTCACCTAGGTTCGAACCTGGGCAAGAGACTAACGGTCGGACGGTCCGATTCCTCTGAGTTCCCTTAATCATTGCCAATTTCTCACAGCTACAGCTCCCAGCGACTGAACTGCAGTTCTCTAACTCAGAGACTCTCAAACCTACTCTTCACAAACTGCTTATAACCGCACAGGAAACACCGTATCCCAGTATTGTTGGATCTTTATGACGATTTCGTGTTTGTCGGCGGATCCGTTACGTAGCAACGGTTGTTGTATAGTTGGTTATTTCGCGGTCGTTGCGTAGTAGCGGATTTGCATGCCACAATACTAAAAGTTAAATTGTACCTGTAAGAGATAGGTAGGCTACCCACATCAGCGATCACGGCTAGTTTCTCGGACAGTACTCAATGATACATAGGAAGTTTGTTACGTAACGTTGCGTGTTCAAAGTATGACGCGCCCTCAGACACTTCAGACAAGCTATAGATAGACGTTGTTACTCTGTGTTGCGCAACATCATTCCATCTGCTTCCTGTCCGCAGTCCTACAAGGTCGTAGTAATGAATTGGTCGAAGACCTTCAGGTTGCGTGCAGAGGAAACGTATTTTGGCATGTCTGTTCAGAATATTCCAGACGAGTGCGTACCGTGTTGTTCTATAGTCGGAATGTCTGTAGTTCAAATCTCGGCCCGGCTACTCTTATTTAATTTTCTATGGCTTTCCATAGTTCCTTGAGGAAAATGCTGCAGTAGTACCTTCAATTAGCCAATGACCGCCCTCTTTCCCAGCATTTCCAGTCCAGTGTTACCTGGTGATGTCGTCATTCAGCGCTAGTTAACGTTAGCAGTTGAAAGCTTCCTTAAATAAACCGTAATTAAACAAGAATAATTTCCTTGGAATCAACTAACGCCTCGGTTCAGTGGATAAATATTCTCCCTTGGATCTCGGAGAGGTTTGGTTTTCGATTTTCAGTCCGGAGGCCTCCCCCTCAACACTGAAGCTTATGGTGATTTCCCTCAATTCTTTCACGAACTCTGTATGACAGCAATTCAAGTTGAACATCATGCCTGTTCGGATGTAACACCCCGCGCTGAGATATTTGATGGTGATTTCAGTATCGATATTAGTATCGTCGGCTGATAAGATAATACGATGAATAATGAATTGGAAAGGATTTGCAAGGGCACAGTCATAGCCTTATTGGCGTAAAGTTCCGGAATTTGCATGGAGGAACTGACGAAAACCTCAAGATAGACGGTTCGTTTCCTCTCAACTCGGTTTACCGCCGTGCAGCATGGTTAACATCGTTACACTCCAGAAGACGTGAGTCTTCATAATCCGTTTTAGAACCTCAAATCTCATATCCCTTAATTTTTACCTATCCTTCACTGTTTCTAGTTCAGATACGTCCAACCCATGTGACGCAATGAAATGTATGTGGCTGGAGTATTTGTGATTTTATTTTTATATTACTCTAATTTACTGGTATATCCATACACGCATATTTACATAACACAATTTAATTTTGTGTGTCAGGAGATTTCCACAACTCATATTAAGAAAAATATATTTTGAATAGTACTGTCGACGTGTTCACTGCTATTTTAAAATAATTTAGTAAAAGCGAAATGAAAGTCGTGAGGTGAAATGACATGTGCTCAACAAATCGAATTGTCTGTTTCTTAGTGACGAGTGAAAACCTAGTTGAAGAGTGGAAAATTATTTTGAATTATTTACTTATACATCCCGTCGCTGCCTTACTTTATTCCTCCACACGTTTATCAGTAAATGGTATCTTGTATAAATGTTATATAGAATAAAGTGAAGCTTAGCGTAAACTGTTATACCTTACCTGCTTGTAAAGGTATCCTGCAGTTCAGACTCTTGTGTATTGCACAAGTGTTCTCCTCTTTATATACACTTGCTTCTCGGCCGAGCAGTTCCAGCACACTCATCACATAAGCCAGATATCACGTCTAGCCATATCTGAGTGCATGACACAGCTGCAACATTCCCACCACCATGAACTTGCTAAAACTAAATGTGCGGTGTCACACAGCTCGCTAGATCTCTCATGGCCATCGCAGGCTATTTGGATCACTTAATTGATTGACTTATGAGCCTGGATAGCTCAGTCGGTATAACGACTGGCTACGGGCCGGAAGACAGAGGGGTTAGAGTTCGAGTCCAAGTACAATCAAGAATCTTCTCCATGTCGTCCAGACCGGCTGTGGGGTCCCCCCAACCTCCCGTTTAATGTGTACCAGGGGCTATTTCCACGGAGGTAAAACGGCCGGGCGTGAAGATGACCAATGAACTCCAACTAATGCGAAGGTCAAGATAACTTGGATCTATAAATGTACTCCCCCATACGTCTTCCTGGCGTAGTGCTTAATTACTTAAGCAGAGGGGCAGTTTAGAACTAAGGCCCAGTACATCTCAGAAAATGCGTCTGCTTGTTGAGAGGTCACTTTCGCGCCCCGCCTTCGTAATGCGGGTTTGTTTCTTCACGTTAAGATGTCACATCAGCGCCGAATCGTCGAATACAGTAATATACTTTTGCGGTTTCGCGGTAATGGCGAATTACAATATTTTCGGTGCAGGAAGCTATAAGAAACCTTTCCTTTAAAACGTAATATCTTTACAGGTCCCGCTGTTATCTTCCTAACATATCTTTACGGGGGCAGGAGATATCGTAGCTGGTTGGGGCACATTGTTACTAGCCGGAAGGTCGCGATGAGGATTTTGCTTTCAGAACTGCATGGATGGTTGTCCTCTTTGAGAAGCTGATAGGTACTCATGTAGTGAAAAGGTTCCCAACATATTATGGAACCCGAAGTTTCGGTGTCGTGTTCACAACAGTTCGCCACTGGTGACTGTCCTCAGATACTTCAATCCAGTTCTCGCTTTTCTGTCCTATCTATTTTAATTACTTCCTGTATACGTCTCTGTCTTCCAAACGGCCTGTTCCCTTTAGGGTTTTCAGACTAAAGCGTTATATATTTATATACATGTATTTCCTTTGCGTCGCATAAGAACTACGTGTCCAACCCATCCTCTGATTTAATAGTCCTTGTAATATTTGGCTAGGAGCAGAAATCAAAACATGTTCTAAAATTTAAATTACATTCCAGTGGATAGAAATGAATATCATCTTTATTTATATTTTATTATCTCTTTCAAATTCAATCGAAGTTGCTTGTACAAACTGATGAACCTATCCAACATCCTCTATCGGTACCAGAAATCGAGTCACAGTCTTCATGGAGTGGTGCTTTAAGCACGAATCGTCACATCCGAAAATCGGAATTCTCCCAGAATTCTGTGGCAGTTAAGTTCCCATGGTTACATGACAGTGCTTCTGAAATAAAGAGATTTGTCAGATCAGTAAAGCGCCCATGTTATTTCGAGTGAAATAAACTGTTAGTTAAATGGAAGGCTATGAAATGTTGTCACGAAAATTACTAAGAAGATTACCCGATGGCTGGAATTAGGTAATAACTTCCTCTTCTTTCATTGACGTATTAGGCCCCATGGCCTGTTCCCATTCAAAATTTATTCTGCAACTATGAATCTTACAGGCAGCTGGTGAAACTCCTTGGACGGAGGATCAGCCCTTCGCAAGGCCTCTCCTACACAGGACAACACAAACACAGAAAGAACGCTCACATACATACATTTTTATGAAATACTTCTTTCTGGACAGCTGAAAGCTGGGATCCCTTAGAAGTTCAGGAAATAATTGAACAGTTCTTACGGAACGTATACAGAGTGTCCCAGAAGGAACGGTCAGTATTCCGGGAGGTCACAGTATCGATCATTCTAAACATATATGTCCTATTCCGAAGAGATTGTTTCATGTTTATACTTTGAAGCATGGTAATTTGGCTACAGAGATTATCACGAATGGTATTACGGAAAGAGCCGAAAGGTGACAGTTATGATATATTTGAAATTCATATTGTTACCTCTAAACAGATCTTTCGAATGAAAGCCAGAAGTGTGGCTTCAAAGACGGAGGCAACTGGAGAACCTCGTTGTAAACTGCCATACCAGTGAATATAGGGAGGAAACAGAAAGACAGCGCAGGGATCGACCCCCCTCTCCAAATCTTCTGCAACCTGTTACATTCCCCTGTCCAGTGAATCACGTGATAACCTTCGCTGATGGGACGCGTTTTGTTTGGTTAGAGGGGCATGCAACAGTAAGCTGGTAGGGAGAAGTCACCCACGCCACCCATGGGACTTCCTTCCTTCGCCTCAGTACAATTTTCTTCCTTGGAAGATTGCTTGTAGCACCGTGACCTGCACAATCTGCACTTCTGTGTGTCAGAGCTGATATAATGTGTGTCAGAAACAATATTTTATTATTTACATGTGAGTTATAATCGTGTTTACCTTATCGCGAGTGACGTTATTAGAAACTTTCCCCGATAGGTTTAATGGTGAGCTCGTGGATCTGAAACAGATGGAAAATAACATTAATCACCCCTCATGCCACAGATCTTATTAAGGAATCAGATATGGAAAGGTGACATGCAGGGAATTTTGTTTATTACATTTTGGAATAACCTACAGCGATTCCAGTCTTGCGTATACATTATGCGACCTGCATCTGCTATCATCTGTAGGGCATTAAAGAGACACTTCCTATATGTAGATAATGTTACGTGTATGGTGTTTCCGTGACTAATAGTTATGGGTTATAGATCTGATGATCGAATTTATTGGACATATCTGTTAGAGTTACCGTTGATTATAACAACTCACATGTTGAACTCCTTAACGACGTCTGTTTGAGGAATCTGTCACTGTTGTCTGAATTTCGGACTGGTCTCTTGTGTTATGCCTTCTGGATCTCTACTCCAAGTCTGAGTTGTGTTTTGTATTACGACGGACGGTCAGTCGTTCAGTCTATCGTGGAATAAAGCACCCATCTGGGGCTTACGGCCAAATTTTTACTACTGTTACACAGTTGCGGGTTTGTTGATGTGGGGCGCTCTCTCTGACGAGTGGACGGGTCTGTTCTTTACAATTCCTGCTGGTCCTCGCCAGCGGAGTCATTCTCGGGTCCGAGTCCCGTGAGACTCGTGACCATAAATTACTGTCCGAGATTCGAGACTTCCTTTTTCGTCTCCTCCTACGTCTTGCAGGGTACTGTGGAGGTATTCGACCCCACGTCAGCGCGGGTAACAGTACACCCTGAGTCTGAGTCTCATTTGTTGACCGACGGTCAGTCATTCAGTCAGTCAGCCAGCCAGTCAATCTTGGCATAAAGCACCCATCTGGGGCTTGCGACAAGATTGTTTGACAGTTACGGTCTTGCTTTTTGTGGGCGCCCTCTCTGACGAGAGGACCGGTCTGTCTTTTATATTATGCTGCTGGTTCTTGCCAGCCCAGTCTTTCTCGGGTTTGAGTCCGATGGGACTCGAGACCATATATATTACTGTCTCAAATTTGAGACTTCCCTTTTTGTCGCCTCCTACGATTCGCAGGGTCACGGTGTGGGTATTCGAACCCGCCTCCATAGGGCAATTAGTAATAGTACGACCCTTTGAATTCACTACTTTTCTAACTTCTAGGCGGCCCGCGTAGAAGACATCACGTCGAACAGTTAATTGCCCTCTGCTGGCCTGCCGGTTGTCACGGAAATCTGTGTTAATGACTTTTTACCTGGTAACGACTCTTTCGTGCTATCTGTTGTAATCTGCGTAACCGTTGCCGCGAAAATGCGTGTTTACCTAGTCGTTGTCCAGCAACGGTCTATTCCGCGTTGCCATGGGAATGTGCTTAGCGAAGCGTTGCCTAGCAGATGCTCATATTCCGGCTTTCAGGCGTTATGTCGCTATATATAATGCGGTTTTCAGATTCAGCGTTAACCTTACGCAGTTTCGGGTCACTACGGCAATGAATTGTTAAGTCATTCTGTCTACGTAATTTAGGTAGTATGTCACGAACAAGCGAGCAGTCGTTTCTTTCGGTCTATCATGTCTATTCTATGAGTACTGATAATATTTCGAAGTGGATATATGAAGTGCACTATAGCACACATATACTATACAGGAAACGGTATACGATTGGCTATTTGTGCGTGTTATTCTTGGGAGATTGCGATAAACTACGACTGCTGCTTTTTCCGCATTTTATGTTAATGAACCCAGGATCTCTCGAATAGTAGGCCAGTCCGTACCTGTACATGTGGAGGTACTCCAAGCACATACAGAACGGCATCGGCTACGTCCTTTGCCTCCAAGTGAGGGAAGCTAGAATATATTTGTTTGGGATCTACTTCACTTCCAGTCGCCGCTATGAATTCTGTTTCCACCACTCCAGGGCTCACACTCTGAAAAGGAAATAAAGCCACTCGTGAGTGCAGCATGGACAATATCTGGGTCTTTACAAAAGATTGTCTCAAGAGTACTATACAAGTGATCCAGAAGTAAAGGGCAGTGTTCTTGGATGTCATAATGTAATTCATTCTAAGCAAACGTGTGTATATTATGACATGTCAACGGATTGCCAAGCAACGGCTCGATAGACACCTCGCGATACTCCCACGCAACAATAGGACAAATATTTATAACTCTTTAAAGCAACAGTCAGCGCACCAATGGACTAGCAAGATAGCTGTCACGTGACAGGCTATATAGGGTCCGCGCCGCGACCGTCGCTATGCAACGGCTCAGTAAACAAACCTCAGAAATAGAGACTGCTTCCTGTGTGGTCCGTGAAGCGGTTATATAAAGAGATTTCCAAGAATAATCAAGGCAGTGAGTGACAGATTTCTGTGTTCTGAGTTCTCAGTTTGTAGTAGAAGAGGAACAGGAAGTCGGCCTCTGACAATCTGATGTGTGATTAAAAGGCTTCATTCATATGTAATACTTAGAGTGTGTGATTCAGTGAGACTGTTATAGTTTCTGAGTTTTAATTGTGGTACCAGGAGAGGACCGATGTGTGTGTAAATCAGCGATAGCGCTGTATTTGAATGTGATTGAGAAAATATATAACCAGGGTGCTAATAAGTCTAATCATCCGAATTGAAATCCCCGTCATTTTCGTCGCGCGTACCATCCTTGCGTGGCAGTACGTACAAGTGTCCTATTCCGAACGGCTTCCGAGATAGCTATACTCGTATTTTACTGTACAGTTCCAAAATTGTTGATGAAGATATATTACGTACTGTTTCTAATACCGGTATTTATCGTTCAAGTGACAAAGTTGGTACAGTGTACTTAGTACAATAAATTTTCGAAAATTCCACCGCCAACATCAATGCAATTTGTAACTCGTGTGAGGACATCGCGTGTTGCTTGCCTGTAGAGTTTCCTGTACAGTAAAATACCTCTCCCTCGGAAACCGTTAGGAACAGGATATATGTACGTATACAGTTTCGCTTAGAATGACCGATACTATGACCTACCAGAATATTGACCTTTCTTCTTGGGACACTCTGTATTCTGGTATGTAATGCTGTGTAACCCGGTAGAATTTGATTATAGTTTCGAAGGAACATAACGATTCCACTTTCAGGATGGAAGAAGAGTGAGCCAAGCAAGTAACCAACAAGCAGGAGTCGGAAATCGAAGCCTGCTTTTGATGTAAGTTCCTCCGAAACGTCGGTGAAATTATGCTAGAATACGGGGTATTACAGCCCAGAAGCTGTCCTTGTGACATAAATGCCAAGTTATCACGAAACGTCGTATGATTATACAGCATCGACTGTCCATTGGACTGAATATAAGTCCAAATATATAGTTCACTTATTGGCAATAAGTGATTTATACATTTGGATATTCATTCTGTGACATGTTGCAGATCGTAAAGTTTTTCCAGCGGGTTCATCATAGATAACCAGAATCAATATTTAATGGTTGTGATATCTGTTGAAGCGTTCTGTTTTCTGGGATATAACGCCATGTATTCCGTTGGAAGTGAAAGGGCGTTTCGGCGGAACATGTCGCCTCCATATTTAGACTCGAAGGGTACGCCAAGCAAGAAAGCAGTGCGAAAACTCTAGTTTTCCGCTTGTTTCCTGTTTCGCTTATTCTTCGACCCTGAAGAAGGAAGCGTCATCTTCCTCCGAAACGTCGGTTTCTTCGTAACCTCTGCTATGAGGACCACAGATTCTACATGATATCTGTGTTTAGTTCAAGAGTGCTCGTTCGGTTGAAAACAAAACATTAACGAAAATTCACCGCAAGAAAATATTACAAGTATACATATAGAGCTTTATATTAAGGATTTTAACATAACTAAATTTGGTGGGAATAACGAGATCAGATATTGGTGATATGAAAGTATGTGTACATGCTCCTGGTTTGGTGAGTTTTCCCAAAGCGATAGAAGGAAATGCAGGGCAGAATTCTAGGGAAACTCATTTGGTTTCTATATTCAATTACAAAACTTAAACGAAGTTTTTTGTTCTCGAAAATTACGACTTGCGTGTGACATCTCGCTGTGATACAGTTCAACAAATTGACTGGCAGGTTTAGACCTGAACATTCCCGTTGATACCTGTGAATGTTTAAGGTTAACTGAATTTTGAGTCACTCCGCATTTGCTGCTGAGCGGGACAGGGTAGTGTTTCTCTAAATTTGGACACCATAGAGTATGACTGTGAAAGATAACGCTCTCAGCTGAGAACTTTTAAGCTTTCTTGTTACGTATATTTCTCTTCCACGCTGTACAGCCCCAGCTACTGACAGCGATTCGAAATATCCCCCAAAGAATTAACAGCGGAACCATAAGACACAGAAGAATGAAACAACAAGTACTGCAATTAAAATAATTCTCACCAAGCATGACATAGGAACATTTTGCTTGGAATGTTTTAAAGAGAGAGACTATCTGATAGAACTAGATGTAGAGTAAGGCACATAACAGTCACATGACACTCACAGTAACCCGTATCTTTGATTTCTCCGCAACCAGTTCCTGCCTGAGCCCCTCAGTGAGAAGGGTAACGGCGTGCTTTGATGCCCAGTACATGTTTGTGGACATACCTGATGTCGGAATTCTGTGACCAGCGACACTGTGAAGCAAAGCGTAAAGGAAAATCAGTTACACGAAAAGTTACATGAGCTACAGTAAGTTTTCAAGAGAGCGTAGCCGTGAATCGAAGTAAAGCATAAAGGAAAATCAGTTACAAGCAGTTTTAAATATACTACAGTTTGCTTTCTAAAGAACCCCACCAACAAGTGAACTGAAGCCGTATGGGTCGGCTAGACTTGCCAGTGAGAGCACCTCACTCTTCACCGAGAGTTCCGCAAGAAACCTCACTGTATAAACATGTGTTAGTGAGAACTGGGGGAACATCAATTGGAAAGCCACAAATAACTTGCAGGATACGACTGCCTTGTGAGTCACCTGTTAATATGAACAATGTGTCCATCATCCACTCCCTTCTCCTTCATGGACTCGAGCGCTTCCTTGGTGCAGACACTCAGCGCTAGGACATTCAGGTCCAGGATTCGCCTCCAGTTCTCAACAGGGCCGGCTAGAAATACAGAACGTCAATTAGTTTAACGCGAACATTTCTGTGGCACATGAATGACGGAAAACTGATACGGGTTATCAGAGTTTGTGGTGCAGCCGTTCCCCGCAATAATACATATATTTATTAGAGTCAAAGAACAGCGCAGTTGTCCAAAGCGCTGCTGGTTCATATCAGACTGTAGGGTGAAGGCAGGAACTTATTTAGCTTTATTGCCTCTCTACACCTACAGTAAACTATAAAATTTAGAACAGATGCTGGAGCAAGTTTGGTGGATTTGAGGTGCCAACTGTGAAGATTACCGTCTCCTGGGATGGGATACCGTCTAGTTTTGTAGATATTTACCAACGTTTTGGGAGGTTTTGTTGGTCCCATTATGAAGGAAAACCCGCACATGGCGGCACATTCCAAAAGATTGTAGCTCTTAAACGTGATAGAGTTGGAACAGACCACCAATTGGCGTAGCCCGTGGTATTGTAACAGTGTTTGATAATATTCACGGTACGTACTTATAAGTTTGCTGTTATAAGCAGCTCCTGCGTTGTTGATGAGGATGTCGACTCCACCGAGGTTAGTTTTGATCCACTTGAAGGCCGCCTGAACTTCACTCTCCTTAGTAACGTCACATTTCAGAGCGTGCAGTTTACCCGGTGCGGATTTCAGGGAGGCGGCTAGCTCCTGAAACAGCACGTTTATTCCTGCGCTTAATTGATTAAACACCGTAGTATGGATCCAGATGAGAGGGTGGGGGTGTAGTCCCACCACTGCTAACCTGAGCACTAGATGCAGGTGACTGTTACGATGTGCCTGAGTAATGGATAAAGAAGCGAAGAGCCTGTTCAATTCTCGAAGACGATGGGCAATTTTAGAAAAATTACTTGAAGAAATGGGGGCACGGGTTAACGTAGTTGGTTGAAGTACTACGCTACAAGACGGACGGTCTCATGTTCTATACCAGATGTGGTCATTGGATTTTTCAATTTACCTAATCATTGAGTACCATTGAAATGAATACCAGAAATTCTCCTGGGTTTAAAGGGCGTGCAGCGTGTAAAACTCAAACCACCGCCATCTGTTGGTCGACTTTCTAGAAAATATGGGGCCTCGCTGTCTCTCAACTCTATGAGCGACTACGGCCTGTTACATCGTTAGCGTAACCTTTTTTTTTTTACTTAAAAGAAACAGTTGCAGTCTGTGTACTAAGAGTCAGTCGGAACCTGCGCTTAGAAGCGGAATTCAGGTCAAGTAGCTGTTATGTGGAAAGTTCGGGGGGCGATGCGCGCGCACAGTCTTGGTTGTGATACCAATTTTTACTACTCCCAGATGATAGACGGTTGAAACTGAGCATTTTATATAATGCTTGGAGCTATGCCTCTACTTCCCTATATGTCTTAATGGAGCGGTACTTAATTAATTAAGCATAAAGACAACTTTTTATTTCCTTGCCACTACAGCGCCATTGGGCCTAGGCCTACCTCCATGAACTTCTCCGTTCACTTCGGTTTTCTAGATCTTACACATTCGGTAGGACTCCTTGGGCGGGTGATCAGCTCGTCGCAAGGCCTCTACCTGTACACATATACAGAAAAACGCACACACATACAAACTAAACATCCATGCCCTGAGTGGGATTCGAACCCGCGATCCCGGTTTCCAAGCGAGCGAAGACAGTACATGCCTTAGACCGGTCGACTAACGTGACCGGCAGGGCCATTTTTTTTTTTTCCTTGGCACTACAGCCCCAGTGGGCCTAGGCCTACCTCCATGAACTTTTCCGTTCCAAAGGACAACTTTACCTGTAGCTTATTCCAGTTGCATAACTTGGTCTGTCTTGAAGTTTGGATGCCTTATCCAATGGCTGTTGGATGATTATGATTCATTCTGTCTCTTTTTATCTCACAACTGAACGGTGTTAAATGTAACCTATCGCCAGTATCATCATCATTGGGTGGGGAGGGCGGAGTTTAGTTCCAAATATAACTACCGGACTAGTGTGGTAAATGGCGTGGTTTTCATGACGATGAAATTTTGAATTGTCGCTAACACCAGATAGTCTCATACATGGTTACCATAGTTTCGGAGGAAAATACTGCTTACGTCTTCATCTCCACCATAGTCTCCTGAAGAACTTGCCACCTTTATCTGCTTCTACAGGCAGCAGGCTCCTCCGAAACATTGGCAGCCACGAACCAGATTTCAGGTTGTTGTAACTGCAGAAGACTACAACATGAAGTTACCTCAATCCTCTCCACTCTGCGCGCCAGTCCGACCACTTTGAGTCCTTTCTTCACGAGTTCTTTAGCGATGGCTGCTCCTATCCCGGCACTGGCTCCTGTTACCACGGCAACACGACCTGACCAACGCTCCATTTTAGTCTCAGTACTGAAACAAAATTGTGCGCACTTTCATACGTCCTGACACCAATACATTTTCTGTCTGTTCTTGCTAACTACGACTGAGAGTCAGTAAACAGGCCACAAATGCTTATGAACGTAGATCATCTGATATTCAGACCTAGGAAAAACACGTTTATTTTCTCGACATATCCGCCAACAGCACTAATACAGATAGACTTGAAAGGATTCTGACCATGGTGTATGCTGTACAGAACTACGTATAAGGCTTATTTTGGACTCTATCCATCGTCTGGTATATAGAAGACAGAAACCACAACGTTTCGGAGACTGACTCTGGCTCCGTCCTCAGGTGGATGGGGCAGGATAAACGTGCTCAGTTGGGCCCGTTAGAAAGAGCTAGTCTGAATCTCTCGACCTCTGGATCTGTAGTCAGGAACTCTGACCACTAGACCACAGAGGCGGTCTTTATGACGACTCACATGTAGGAAGCATACGTAAAGAAACGTGTGCTAGCATGTTACATGTATAAGACGATTTACACAAAAACCTCTTAAACATAAAAGGCTTAATATATGTACCTCACATTTGTAATGCTTGATGTACTTATCTATAAGACGGTTCGTTACAAAAAATGTAAGCAGCTGAAATGTTCAAAAGCATGCACAACTACTCTGAATCTGTTGTCACTGACGATGTGCGATAAATGATAAATAGCGTTAGGGATTACATGTGTACGCAACTCAACTTAAAAAGGCTGGCACGTTTATAGAGTTTGATTATAGAAGGGGTTAGATGGGAAATCAGATTTATTGCACAATTTTACAACTCGTTATTAGACTTCACAAATCACTATCACACACAGACTAGTATTCTCAATCTGTTAGTCTCCATTAGCCGTTGCTTGGTACCGGCTTACGACGTTGTACGTTCCCCTTTTCTTGGGGAATGATATATGATGAATATGGGGCAGTTGGTGGAATGAGAATTTGCAGGGGAAACCGAAGTACTCGGGAAAACCTTCTACGTTGCCACTTTGTTCACCACAAATCCGACATGACGTGACCTGGGTTCGAACCTGGGGAGGCGACTAACGGTCGGACTGTCCGATTCCTCTGAGTTCCCTTACGTCATCTACAAATTTCTCACCGTAACAACTCACAACGACTGAACTGCAGTTCTCTGACTCACAGGCTCTCAAACCAAGTCTTCACTAACTGCTTATACCGCACAGGAAACACCGTTTCCCAGTATTGTTGGATCTTTTTGACGATTTCGTGTCTGTCGGCGGATCCGTTACCTAGCAACGGTTGTTGTATAGTTGCTTATTTCTCGGTCGTTGCATAGTAGCGGATTTGCATGCCACAATACTAAAAGTTAAGTTGTACGTGTAAGAAGTAGGTAGGTTACCCACATCAGCGACCACCGCTAGTTTCTCGGACAGTGCTCAGTGATACATAGGACGTTTGTTACGTAACGTTGCGTGTTCAAAGTATGACGCGCCCTCAGACACTTCAGACAAGCTATAGATAGACGTTGTTACTCTGTGTTGCGCAACATCATTCCATCTGCTTCCTGTCCGCAGTCCTACAAGGTCGTAGTAATGAAGTGATCGAAGACCTTCAGGTTGCGTGCAGAGGAAACGTATTTTGAGATGTCTGTTCAGAATATTCCAGACGAGTGCGTACCGTGTTGTTCCATAGTCGGAATGTCTGTAGTTCAAATCTCGGCCTCGCGACCCTTATTGAAATTTCTATGGCTTTCCATAGTTTCTTGATGAAAATGCTGCAGTAGTACCTTAAAGTAGCCAAAGACCGCCCTCTTTCCCAGCATTTCCAGTCCATTGTTACCTAGTGATGTCATTCAACGCTAGTTAACGTTAGCAGTTGAAAGCTTCCTTAAATAAACCGTAATTAAACAAGAACAATTTCCTTGGAGTCAACAAACGCCTCGGTTCAGTGGATAATTATTCTTCCTTGGATCTCGGAGAGGTTTGGTTTTCGATTTTCAGCCCGGAGGCCTCCCCCTCAACACTGAAGCTTATGGTGATTTCCCTCAATTCTTCCACGAACACTGTATGACAGCAATTCAAGTTGAACATTATGCCTGTTCGGATGTAACACCCTGCGCTCAGTTATTTGATGATGATTTCAATATCGATACTAGTATCGTCGGATGGTAAGATGATACGATGAATAATGAATTGGAAAGGATTTGCAGTGACACAGTCGTAGCCTTATAGGCGTAATGTTCCAGAATTTGCATGTAGGAACTGACGAAAACCTCAAGATAGGCGTTGTTGTCGCCGAGAATCGAATGCAGCACCTCCCGAATACAAGTCTAGTTCGTTTCCTCTCAACTCGGTGTAACGCCGTGCAGCCTGGTAAACATCGTTACATTCCAGAAGACTTGAGTCTTCATAATCCGCTTTAGAACCTCAAATCTCATATCCCTTAATTTTTATCTATCCTTCACTGTTTCCAGTTCAGATACGTCGGACCCATGTGACGCAATGAAATGTATGTGGCTGGAGTATTTGTGATTTTATTTTTATATTACTCTAATTTACTGGTATATTCATACACGCATATTTACATAACACAATTTAATTTTGTGTGTCAGGAGATTTCCACAACTCATATTAAGAAAAATATATTTTGAATAGTACTGTCGACGTGTTCACTGCTATTTTAAAATAATTTAGTAAAAGCGAAATGAAAGTCGTGAGGTGAAATGACATGTGCTCAACAAATCGAATTGTCTGTTTCTTAGTGACGAGTGAAAACCTAGTTGAAGAGTGGAAAATTATTTTGAATTATTCACTTATACATCCCGTCGCTGCCTTACTTTATTCCTCCACACGTTTATCAGTAAATGGTATCTTGTATAAATGTTATATAGAATAAAGTGAAGCTTAGCGTAAACTGTTATACCTTACCTGCTTGTAAAGGTATCCTGCAGTTCAGACTCTTGTGTATTGCACAAGTGTTCTCCTCTTTATATACACTTGCTTCTCGGCCGAGCAGTTCCAGCACACTCATCACATAAGCCAGATATCACGTCTAGCCATATCTGAGTGCATGACACAGCTGCAACATTCCCACCACCATGAACTTGCAAAACCAAAAGTGCAGTGTCACGCTACCTCGTAAATCTCTCACGGTCATCATAATCACAGGTGCTAAAGACTGCTGTTACTGTTGAGTGGCCGGTTAACCAACAAATTTGCTGCCTCACCATCCAAATTACTGCAGACTAATTGGGTGACTTATGGATAGATTTGCAGGCTGTCTGAGTGGCTGCGTGGCGCACTGAGTGGATGTCTGAAGAGATGCCTGGCTGAGTGGTTACGTGTCTGAACATATGCGTGGCAAACTGAGTGGCTGCCTGGCTATCAGTGGCCGTGTGGCGGGCTGAGCCTCACTGACTGACCGACAGACTCAGGGGTTGTCTGAATGTCAGGCTGGATGACCACCCGCTCTCTGATTGACTGACATGTGAATGACCAATTATCCCACTAGTTATGAAATTGTCTGGCTGACCAACTGGCCCACGAATGTCTCTACTGAGGCAACAGAAGGAAGTCCCATGGATCGACATCATGCAATGTCCCTCGACGCCTCCCTCTTTACCTTACGTCCCTCTGTATTTGCCTCCTATAATTTACCCTTTCTGTTAACACGAATGTCGGAGTGGGAACGTGAATGTAAGGGATGGTTGACATAGGCAGTAGATGGCTGGAGAGGGATACCACAATAGCAGACAAGGGAAGTCTCGAGTGCCGTCTACTGCACCATCCATGGTACTTCTTTTTGTGGTGCCAGAACAGTAGAAGAATCCTAAAGTTCACTGTAAAATGGCATAGTCTCAGTAGTTCATAAGCCGCCTCAGTCCATCTCGAAAGTTGCTTCCTATTACACACACCCGTCTCCCCCTCGTCCTCACAAAGCAATCGCCAGTTTCTGAGCTTTCGTCCTATACATTAACACAACGTGAACATTTTAACTCTGTTTTACCCCTTCTTTCATGGCACCTGAAAGTGCATTACTCTTTCCGCTAGAGCTCGCCACCGGTCCATGTCCGACGCCATATTAATCCAGTCTATACACCACATGCTCTTTCTTTAAAATCCATTTTAATAACCTCTCATCTACCCCTAATGGTCTTTCCAGATTTTCCTGCAAAAACTTTATACGTATTTCTCATCTTTCCCGTGCGTGCTGCATGCCTCATCCTTCACATTCTTCATTCTTTTATTATAATATTTAGCGACGAGTACAAATGACGCAACTCCTCGCAATGCAGTTTTCTTCAGCATCCTGTTACTTTTTCTCTTGTTGTTCGAAATATTATCCTCAGCACTCTGTTCTGAAGTTCCCCAGTCTCTGCTCCTTCATTAAGTTGACACCAAGTTTCATACCCTTAGAAAACAATGGGCAAAATTAATCCATATTTTTTTACCTTGCTTGTGACCATCAGCAAGATTTCTTTTGATATTCAATGTTTATTAATAATCATATCCACTTCATGTATCGACCTGTATTGATCATCTTCAGCTGGTAAAAAATTCTAGTGAATTGTACAAGGTGCGACAATTTAATTCTCGGAGTGACCCTGTGTAAGAAGAATTTGCTTACCTGTGAACTAGCGGCTGCTGTCGTCTTCGAAGTACTCTCCTTGTGAAGCTATGCACTTCGTGAGACGATGGTGCCACTACCGGAAACAGTCTTGCAAATCGTTTTCCGGAATAGTTGGCGGTAACGTTGTCACGTTGCGATGTATGTCAGTAATGTCAGCATATTTTTGTCGCATCAGGTCATTTCTTTTATTTTTGGAAAGAGCCGAAAATCGAAGGGGACTAATTCAGGTGAATATTGTATTATATTGTATTGTATTGGAGAGGGTGGGTTTCCCCATGCACTTAGACCAGTCTCTATTCCCTACCGGTACTGGCGCGTGCCATCAGTCCCGACTCAGCCAGCGAGTTCGGCCTCTACTGGCTCAGCGGTATCTGGATGCTTCCCCCATCTACCAGAGGCGTTAGAGACTACTGTTGGGCGGGAAATGTCCTGAATTTGGCTCAGTGGTCCCCTTGGGACATGAGATTCTTTTACATGCCGTAAAGCTACGACACGGGACCCACGGTTAAAGTCCCTCTCGGAGGGCTTGTTCCCTGAAATTTTCCGCCCTTAAAAATTCCACGACCTCCGCCGGGTTTGAACCCGCGTACCTTGAGTCACGAGGTGGAAACATTACCCCATTGGGGTCCATTTTTGTAATTGATTTCTTAGCCAGGAACCCGCATACTCTTAACGCTTCATGCGCAGGAGCACTGTCTTGTCCTTGAACCGCCTATGCCTTTCGAAAACACTCCATTTATTCATAGCATATTCACCACAAGCCGTTGTTAATAGGGCTGACGTTTCACTAGCACCTTTACCAATCTTCACACGAAACTTAATGTTTATCGGCTGCTCCAGATTGTTGTCACTCGTCTTTCCGCCAACAGTATACCGCGGACATGTACTACTTCCTCCGTTGCTTGGCAACGAACGAATCTTTTGCTCTGTGGCTCATGTAAACGAATGTTGGAACATGTCCAAACGTGCTTGGGTACATGATTTTGCCTGACTCAACACCCCAGCTACACGCTGCGGCCATTCCGGGGATTAAATTCTATATTTTTGTTATTTTCACTTCTTGCAATATTGTATACTTTTACTGTTTGCCTATGTGATATCACAAAAGATTGACTGGGTTACATATATGAAAAATGAACCCATTTTTCAGTNTTATATAAAATAGCAGGATGCAAAATTAGAAGGAAGGATTATTGTTTTTGTATATTTTAATATTCTCGTTTTCAGATAGTAGACGGGAAGCCAAATGATTACTTCTTCAGTACAGATCAGGTATTAAAATCATATCAGATGCACAGAGTAATGTACAATATACTTGTAGACATGGATATGTCGCGTTCTTGTTTGGTTCGTGGATTAACAGAATGCTCGAAGGGACACCCAAATAATAACACTTCCATTTATTGTCAGATTGTAAGGGGAACATTTTTCTGTACATACACCTACCGGTATTCCATACTTACTAAAAATATGTAATTCCATTTTTACAGCAAAATATATTTTGTATTTACATTTATATTGTAGCTTAATATTGTGACATGTCAGCCCGTTATGGAAGAAATACTAAGAGTAATGCGTGTAGACCAAAAAGATATTCACTTCCTTCTTTTATAATACCTAAATGCCTACGCACATACTAGGACATGTGAGAAGTGGAAACCGGGAAGTGTGACTGATCTCATAATTGAATTAGTGAGCTCTTTCTGCCTTACACGTTACGGCCACTAGTGTCAAGCAGCAAGAGACAACCCATTATAGAGAAATTAGTTTACGTACGTTTTAAGCATAACATAATCCGTTATTATAAAATCACTTAAAGACCTTAGGATAGTTGTGGATTTTAAGGCTAAGGTGTGAAAACCTTGTAAAGTAAGTTAAAATTTTGGCCGCGCCATAGCTCAAGCGTTTAGTCGCTGGCTTCCCACCGCGGCGGCCCGGGTTCGATCCCGGGTCTGGTCAAGTGGGATTTGTGGCGGACAAAGTGGCGGTGGGACAGGTTTTCTCCGAGTACTTCGGTTCAAATCTTCATTCCACCAATTGCTCCACAATCACCCTCACCTATCATCTGGGGCTGGTACAATAGGCCAGAAATGGCCGCAGTACAAGGGACTTAGTCCCACCCCACTAGCAATAAAAAAAATGTTAAAATTTTGAGTTGAATGCAGAGGAATAGAGTTAGGACTTTCGTAACGATTTCTTATGTTGATTACGTAGAATTTTATTGATTCTGATGACGTATTTTTTTTACAGTGTAGGTGGACACTGCCCGCATTATAACATTCGATAAACTTTTACAGAGCCAGAATTGGAGAACATTACGTAGGCCGTCGCTTTTTCCATCTCCTCTCAACTTTACGTGACTTATAACTCCTTAGACTTAATATCCATAACTACCTCAAGTCCCTTAAATGATTTTATAATAACGGCTTGTGTTGAGTAGCGACGTTATGAACTACATCCTTCGAAATGTTGGTTTACCTCCTGCTGATGGACACTAGTGGCCGAAACGTGTAAGGGTAAACGACTGTGCGTATTTAATTATTAAATCTGTTACATTTGATGGATTCCTGTCTTTCTATACGGTAAAGGGGTGCAACGGTCAAGAGATCCTCTATAAGGGTCCCCTGTTATAAATCGTATCCGAAATCTGTGCTCGCTTCATAGCTCCTCCCGTTAAATTGTTGGTCCATTGGGCTTTACAGTCAGCTGGACAACCTGAAACATAAAATTCGTTTCAAAGAAAACCTAGCGTTGACCTCAGTAAGAACACTTGGTCTTCTAACCCAACATCTATGGAACACGAACCCTTTGCACCTTTACACTACGACGTCTGGTAAAAACACGTCTTGTAACCTACAGACTACAAACCGTGCCATAGCTCAAGCGGTTAGTCTCTGGCTTACCACCGCGGCGGCCCGGGTTCGATTCCGCGTCTGCTCAAGTGATTTGTGGTGGACAAAGTGGCGCTGGGTTAGGTTTTCTCCGAGTACTTCGGTTTCCCCTGCCAGTCTTCATTCCACCAATTGCTCCACAATCACCCTCACCTATCATCTGGGGCTGGTACAATAGGCCAGAAGTAGCCGCAGTACAAGGGACTTAGTGCCACCCCACTAGCAATAAAAAAACCTACAGACTATATCGAAAGAGGGAGGAAGCGAGAAATGCTGAGATACGAAGCGACGAAGAAGAGAGGGACGGACGAAGAAACGAAAGAATAAAAAAAAACCGCGAGATATGGCGCAACGAAGCATAGTAATATGTGTAAAGAAATTCCGCGAGGCACTAAGGAATGGAAGATAAAAAGAGCAGACGGCGAGTTAGGAAGGTGCGAAGGAAAGAATGATGAAGTACAATCCAAGAGACATTAAGAAGAAAAGAAGAGGAAGAGGAAGAAAAGTTGGTGAGATAACAAGGAGTAATGGAAAGGAGGAGGAAAGAAAGATGGCGAGATAACAAGGAGTGATGGAAAGGAAAAGGCAGGGAAAATCGTGAGGTAAGAAGGAATGAAAGAAAGGAAGAAAAAGAAAGAACCAAAGAGAGGAAGACACGAGGGATTGATGACAGCTAGATAAGGTAGTAAGGAATGAAAGAAAACAAAAGAGAGGCCGAGAGATAGGCTGGAAAGATGGACAGAAAGAGAACAAGTGGAAAGGCAAAAGGAAAGGAAGCAAACGAGAGAATGGCGACGAATGTCAGGCCTGTGTGTGAGACTCACCTGCACGTGTGGTGGGGTTCCGAGGACGTAGAGCAGTGCATTTGCTATTTCCTCGGGTTCTAATAAAGCAAGATCCTTAAAGAGAGTCATTACTTCTTCAGGAACTTTAGACCCTTCCGTAAGTGCCGTTCTTGTACATCCAGGACTAATGCTCTGTAAGGGATAAACAAATCTTATTCAGTCATATGAGTCAGTCCGTCATGTAAAGTGCCCAATAGAGCAGTTACTTATGCAGGTACACTCACAGTGACACGGATTTTAGACTTTTGCTGGACCAGTTCCCGTCGGAGTCCCTCTGTCAGCACTGTGACGGCGTGTTTGGAGGCAGCATACATGAAAATAGCTGGAGGCATGATGTGGGCGGTTTCACTAAGCAAAACGTGTACTCGTTTCAGCATATAACTAATACAATTCGATCATAATGTTCTAAACATATACAAAATATAAATTGAACGTTTGAACGCGTTTCACAGAATATTAACCCACCTGTTAATATTTATAATGTGACCATCGTCCACACCTTTTCCCCTCATGGACTGCAAAGCTTCTTTTGCGCACAGGCTGTATCCCAGGACATTCACATCAATGATTTTCCTCCAATTCTCCCATGGTCCATCTTGAAAGCATAATATTAAACTAAAGCATCCTGTTACACTGCGTTCCGGTCTTCTTGCCGTCTATATGCAACGTCGGTTACCATTTACTCGTCGTTTTTCTTCCTTTCTTAACATTTCATGTATCGGACTAACTGGCCATCATGATGCATACAGGTTGTTGTGATGTGGGGACCTGTTGCTCTGCTGCAATGTTCTGCTTTTCTAAATAACTCGTACTAACTGCAGGTCGCCGGTCACGGTAGCCGAGCGGTCTAAGGTATGAACTGTCTTGCCTCGCTAGAAGCCGGGATCGTGGGTTCGGATTTGTTTCCTGTGAGGTACGAACTGAATTCTTATATATTATTATTATACTCTGCCGGTCACGGTAGCCGAGCGGTCTAAGGTATGAACTGCCTTGCCTCGCTAGGAAGCCGGGATCGTGGGTTCGGGTCTGTTTCCTGTGAGGTACGAACTGAATTCTTATATATTATTCTTACACACTGCCGGTCACTGTAACCGAGCGGTCTAAGGCATGAACTGTCTTCGCTCGCTCGGAAGCCGGGATCGTGGGTTCGGATCTGTTTCCTGTGAGGTACGAACTGAATTCTTATATATTATTCTTATACACTGCCGGTCACGGTAGCCGAGCGGTCTAAGGCATGCACTGTCTTACATCGCTAGGAACCCGGGATCATGGGTTCGAATCCCACTCAGGGCATGGATGATTAGTGTTTGTGTGTATGCGTTTTTCTGTGTTTGTGTACAGGTAGAAAGTCCTTGCGACGGGCTGATCACCCACCCAAAGAATCCTACCAAATGTCTTAAGATCTAGTAAACCGAAGTGAAACGGAGAATTTCATGGAGGTAGGCCAAGGCCTAAATTGGGGCTGTAGCGCCAAAGAAAAAAATTGCGGGGTTAACACGCTGTTGTTGTGCACGTGTCTGGCTTATCAGTATTATGTGATGGGTTATATTGGAGGTTTATAAGAAAAACATAACATTACAGAAGAGTAGCAGATTCATGTACACCTGATGAAGGTCAGTGATGCCAAAAAGAAAACTCCGAGAGAATACTGACTGACGTTGCACATAGACGGAAAAAAGTCGAACGCAAAATTAAATCGAGAACATAACTGAATATTACGATTTTTCAACTCAGAAATACATTTGAATTTTCTGTTCATTCATTCTATCCTGATGATGGAAGCTGTTAGTATCGTATGGCAGGATAATCACTGAATAATGAATGGGAAAGGACGTAGAAGGAAACAGTCATGATAAATTTATGAAAATATCCTAACTTTATCGTGAGGGAACTGAGGAAAATGATAGAACTGTGACGTGAGATGAGATGAGATGAGTGATCAGCTTCACTTCCCGGAAGCTACACCACTGGACCCCACAGGTTACAGGATGTACGGCCAGGGGCATTTTCCCAATAGAGGCAATGTTTTCCTCTTCTCCACAGACCAGCTGTGGGGCCCAAAGAACCTCCTACTCAGTTTGTACCGGGGGTTCTTTCTGCGGGCGTAAGCCGAGGGACTTGAAGCTGATCACCGTCCACTGCCGAGGTCAAGAATGGTGGAGCTATAACTCCACTGCCCCATATGTCTTCATGACGTAGTGCTTAATTGGTTAAATACAGTGACGATTTTTTTTTGCTTAACATGAAATAAGAAAACGGATTGGTCATGTTTTACGCAGAAACTGCCTTCTAAAAGAAGTTATCGAAGGAAAGATAGATGGGCGGATAGAAGTGACAAGAAGACGAGGAAGAAGACGTAAGAAGATGCTGGATGACCTTGGGGACAGAAGAGGATACTGTCATTTGAAGGAGAAAGCTCTAGATCGCATTAAATGGAGGAATTGTTTTGGAAGAGACTTTGGACCTGTCGTCTTGACAGATTACTGATGATGATGATGATGATGATGATGATGATTTTGCTTATTGGATAGGAGGCTGAAAGAGCCCCATAGCCGGCTTGCACGCTGTGGAGACGAGAACAATCTCTACCCCTATCAGGAATCGAATCCCGATTTCCCGGTCGCCCAGCTGGTAGCGTAGTAATTATATTCATTAAGTCTACTCTATGTATCAGTGTATGCTCACCTGTGAGGGTGTTGTAATCAGCAACTCCGGCGTTATTTACGTGGATGTCAGCGCCTCCGAGCTTGGAATTGACCCATTTGAAGGCCTCCTTAACATCTGATTCTTTCGTGACGTCACATTTGAGTGGATGCAGCTTCCCTGGTTCTGATTTGAGGGAGTTTGCCATCTCCTAAAATATCTTTTTTTTTTTTTAATTTTGGAATTAAGCTTATACATAGCTCTATGCTCGAATGTGCTTATCAAAATGATTTGAGAATTCTGCAAGGTGTAAACGAAAGATGCGGACAACTTTGGGGCACGAGTTTGACACATCAAAATATGAAAGAATGTCAATATCAGCGTGTCCGGAAACATTTAATCTGTAGTTTATAGCTAAAGAGTACATTTATAAGTGCTCAAAATGGATATGCTGAACATTTGTTTCATCAGTGTTCCTAGACGAGACACGTTTCGGTAGAGACGGAATCATCAATATTCACCACCAACACTAGTGGTCAGAGGATAATCCTCCTGGTATATTCCATTCTAGACTCCAGCAGCAGCTCAACATTAATGTGTGGGCAGGGATTATTGGTGAGTGGTAGATCCGCATGTTTTCCTGTATCGGCTTACAGACAACGGCTACCGAGATCTTTTATACGATCTACCGAAACTACTGGGCAATGTACCACTGGGCGACAGAGCAGGAATCTGGCACTTGCATGATTTTGCTCCGGCACATTGTAGCCGTACTGTGCGCCATGTTCTCACCTACACCTATAATGATAGATGGATCGGTAGAGAGGGACAAGCTTTTTGACCGCCAGACTCGATATTTTGAATCATCTGGCCTCTACATGTGGGGAGGCCTGAAACCTTATGCATGCAGATTCTGTCGACAATGAAGATGTACACCATCACCACACTGTGGATACCTGTCACAGTACCCGCAACTGCCCTGGCATCTGTGAACGGATGTGGCGGTCCATTATGAGACGTGCCGAGGCGGGCGTTGCATATCATTGAGCACATTTTGAGCACTCACTCTTTCAGCCATAACCCACAAATTGAATGTTTCCGGACACGTGTTGATGTAGACATATTTTCTTGATTTGGTACGTGGATTCGTGCCGAAAATTTGCCCGCTTCTCTTAGTTACACCTTGCTTAGAGACTACTGCATGCAATTGCAATGCAATTCAATGAAGTAGGACACGACGTACCTGGATTTTATCCACTCGGATGTCCAGTCCGACTACTTTGAGCCCTTTCTTGACGAGTGCCTGGGCGATGGCCGCTCCTATTCCAGAATTAGCACCCGTTACCACGGCAACACGACCTGACCATCGCTCCATTGATGAATTTTTCGTTTTTCTGAAACAGTTTTAAAACAGAGATTAATGACGTCTCCATTTAGCGTGTTTAGAGGGCGTCTTTACAAACACAATGTGACTTGGAGATCGCCTCACCAAGAACCAGTCCACGACACAGTCAAGACAGCCGGTTCGAATTTCAAATTTCCCACTTTATATGAATATCGTGTTAACGTACGCTTTTGGCGGAATTGAAATTTGAGACACAGGATTACGGGGGTTTTTGGACTTTTTCCATCGTCCGGAATTCTTGGAAATAGTAAACACGACGTTTCGGAACCTGGATCTGTTTCCGTCTTCAGATCAGGATGGAAGTCACCTACTCAGTTGGGCCCCTTAAAAAGAGAAATCCATTGATTGGGTCGATTCATCCGGACGATGGAAAAAGTCCAAAAACCCAGTAAATTTGTGTGTTATCCCACCATCGTCAGAACCCTTTGGAATCTACTTGAAATGTTGAGGTTTGCCACTATTCTTCTATTATGGGTCTATTGGTTTTTAAATTAAGCTGTTTTGCAGTTTGCGTAACGTGTAACTCTGGCGATAGCCTTCCTCTTTTTGCTGTCAGCCGTCAAAAGTCAAAATACATAGACATCAAAAACTATCAAATTAATTTCTTTTAAAACGCCTTATTAGCTTTCGTTAACACAGCATTGCGGCGTTTGATTCTCACATCATCGTCTTAATAAAATACATAAAAATTAATGTTAATTAATTAATCGTATTATCAAATTGTAAACACGTTTTGGAGGTCACTGTTAGTAATACCTGTGAACTCCTGGCCCTTCTGAATACGATTCTGTGATGCAGACGTCTTTATGTAACTTCCTGCGTTCGGAGACTACACCTCCAATGGACCTGAGCTACATTGTCGCAGTAACGTTTTGGAGGTCACTGTTAGTAATACCTGTGAACTCCTGGCCCTTCTGAATACGATTCTGTGATGCAGACGTCTTTATGTAACTTCCTGCGTTCGGAGACTACACCTCCAATGGACCTGAGCTACATTGTCGCAGTAGTCTTGTAGCCTTGTATGTCATCATCATGGCCGTACGCATGCGCGAATTCGGTAACACATAATTAGATGAAGATATGCTACGGCATATTTTGAAGTACGAAAACTGCAGTGTAACGTTTTTAAGTCATAAGAAGAGGCTATTTTAAGTTACCAGATGGAGACTCAGTCATATCTTCGGGGGATACAGTTATGCTGAATCATAGCTTGGCAGTATGCGATCCGCGAGCCAGAAGCGGACCGCAAAGAAATTCAGTCCGGTTTTGCGTCGAATTTAACTAACCAAGTCACGGAGCTGAGCTCTTCTTGAGAAGACACCAATCGCTAAGCTACTCAAGATTTTCTCATCAATTATGGAACTCGAAGATTTGTTACCGCATCCGCAACAGCTCCCACCACTGGGCCATACCCTGAGCAAGACGAATGTAGTCAATTCCACGTTCCATTTCTCTAAGATTCATTTCAGTGTTAGCATTTCATCTATGTCTAGGTATTCCAAGTGGACTCTTTCGTTTAGGTTATCCCACCAAAATCCTGCATGAATTTCTCTTCTCACCTTCTCTCTCTACATGCACTGACTTGATTATGCTAATTATATTTGTCGAAGAGTGCTTGTTATTAAGCTCATTATGTAGTTTCCTCCAGCTCCCTGTTTCTTCATCCCCTTCTGTCCAGATATTCTCCTCAACAGCTTGTTTTCAAACACCATTAATTCTTCCCTGAATGTCAGAGAACAAGTTTCACACCCACAGAAAACCATAGGCAAAATTATAGTTTTGTATATTTTAATTTTTACAAATTTAGACAGATGCAGTCGTATAGGGGCTGACTACCGGTTGACGAACGAGGGGCCTAAGTTCGATTCCCGGTAGGATCGAGAATTTCCTCTTCTCCGCAGCGTCCAGACCGGCTCTGGGGCCCACCCAGCCTGCTATCCAGTGGGTACCGGGGACAACGCGGCCGGAGCTTGAAGATGACCACTCACATCCTAATAGTACCAAGGTCAAGAACACGTGGATCTATACATCCACTCCTCTATACGTCTTCACGGCTTAGTGCTTAATTAGGTAAGCACAGGGATAACTTTTCCTTTACACTTTTTTCCCCCCTTGGCACTACAGCCCCAGTGGGCCTAGGCCTACCTCCATGAACTTCTCCGTTCACTTCGGTTTTTTTAGATCTTACACATTCGGTAGGACTCCTTGGGCCCTTTACTTTTACCTTATATATTGAGACAGCAGACGAGAAAACATAAGGCTCTGAACTCAATGGTAGCAAACATTACCCGAGATCAGTCTCCTCTTAACTTCCTGTTGAATCGCATTTTGATATCTTATAGTAGTTCTCAAAAATCTAAACTGTGCCACATTTTCAAAGAATTTATAAGCCATTTTTACCATTCATGCTGGTGACGAGATACCAGCATATGCATATGTACTTAGTTTTCTCTGCGTTTTCTAGTTCTAGACCAACAGTTGTACAGCTACTCAAGAAATTCTTAGCATTTTATGGAACCCGAAAATTTATTACGATGTTCACAAGAGTCCTCCATTGGTTCCTATCCTGAGCCAGATCAGTCTAGGCCATATGACGTCATCGTACTTCTCTGAGATAAATTTTAAATCTATCCACCCACCTACATCTTCTTCTTACAGTATCTATGTTATTTCTCGATAGATTTTCATGATCGGCTGAAGCTGAAGAAGCTGTAGTGTTCCATTCAAATTCAGTCTCAGCCGGTTTCCTTGGACCTTCATAAAGGCAGATTATAAAGCAAATATGAAATGCAATAACCATTAATTATCGCAGTGTTTCAGATCACTTTGAACGGGAAATATAGACACGGTATTCCATTTAACGTATTTTAATCAGTCGAAATAGTTTTATGTGTACCCAAAATTCATTGAGAATATTGTACAATAATTTCCTACCAAATTATCCACAGACTTTCCTGAAGTTTGCGAATACCTGATGTACTGTTTTTTCTCCGGTCTTTTGCGGGATCAAAATATCTGATCCATAGTTAAACAGTTATATCAAAACCCACATTGATGATCCCAAATAATTTCATCTGTAATGTACATAACCTTGAAAGAAGAATATTCGATAAAATTTTGTATGAAGTTGGTAGCAGTGATATCCCCCTATAATTACTACAGTCAGTTTTATGGCCCTTCTTGTGAACTGGTACAATAATAGACTCCTTCTACTGATCACGCAGTTTTTCCTGAATACAAATAGAGTTAGTTGGCTTATGGATTTTAGAACGTAATATTTCACCTCCTGCTTGAATATGTTCTCCAGGATTTTGATCAATACCTGGAGATTTATATCTTTTCAACTTTGCAGTAGCACTTTAAACCTTAAAAGGGGTAGGATCAGTTACTAAGGGCTCAGCTGTATGGAATTGTATCAGCCCAAAATCACTGACCCTATGTACGTTCATTAACTGAGGTATCGGAACGCGGTTCCTGATAGGGCCAGACATTCTGTTCCCAACACAGCCTCCTGCAAAATGGGTCCGGTGACTTCTTTTATGCGATATATCGGTCAGGGAGTGCAACTGGCCACACACGCCATTGAGACGGACTCAGGTGGCATGATATAAGTACCAAGTTTCGTAAAGTTTGCTTCAGCAATTACAAAGTTTTTAGGGGCGGATATACAGACACACAGACGGCATGTAGATGGCATAAGCCCACTTTTAATTTTTCAAAATAAGGAAATTAGGACAAATATAGGGGTACGATTGTATATTTCATTTTTATATGACTGTTATAAAGGTTCTACTCTTTCTGCAGTTTTTAATAGGCCCCTGCACAATATTCTCCAGACTGTTGTATTGTGCCCCTATTACAAGGTACATTTCGAACCAAGGTGTTCATGGCTGGGCTTCTGCTTCTGCACTCGCAATCCAACGTAGTTCCTTCAATTACCATTCTTCTCCAACAGGCTTTATGATGAGTTCGTGGATCTGAAAAGCAAACATAAACACAGGCGTTTTGTTCAGATATTCTCAAAATTCTTGATACAGCGACCCCGAAAAGTAATATCAAAATTTACGCAACCTCCTCTCCCCATCTGTCAGTGAAAAGTGAAGTTGTGCCATTTTGAGCAGGCCCCTAACAGACTGAACGGGGTAAAGACATCTTGTCTTGTATTTTTTGTGTACGATTGTAGGTGGGAAGTAAGTGGTTAGATTCACCCCCTACCACTTTAACCCCAGAAAAAGAACTTTTTTTTACTCATTGGATAGGAGATTCATGAGGCCCCAAAACCTGGTCTGGACACTTTGGAGAAGAGAACCCCGGTACTGCTGTTGGGATACGAAGCCAGACAAGTTATGTGGATTGGTCATGTAGCTACGGCATTGCTGCGAGGCTGTTAGTTCAGGATCTTGTACAACTGTGGGCTTTGGTTCTCCTGCTGCTCTTGTGTTGCAGTTAGTGTTCTCACCATCATCATGTGAGCAGTCACCATTTTGTAGATGCCTAAATATCCGGCGATTCTTGTGTATTAATGTAAACAAACCAGTCATCAGACCCAAACCCAAAACTGTTGAGGTGGTAAGCTTTTGTTTAAACCTGAGCTATTTGTTATGAAGTTCATACTCTTACCTGTACATGTGGTGGAGTTCCGAGAACATACATCACCGAATCGGCGATGTCCTTAGCTTCCATGATCGGGTTATCCTTATACTGTTCCAGAATCTCCTTCGGAACACCTGATGCTTCAGCTATTTCCGTCTTAACCGCTCCTGGACTAATGCTCTGTGAACAGATTAAGAAATTTTTCGTCATAATTGCGAACTGTTTTATGATGCGTTGTGTTTTTCTATACAGTAAAACCTCGAAAATAAGAATTAATTAAAACTTAGGCCGTGTCATATTCGAAGGTGTTAGTCGCTGGCATCCCGTGGCCCGTGTTCGATCTCGGGTCTGGTCAAGTGGGATTTGTGGTGGACAAAGTGGCGCTGGGGCAGGTTTTCTCCGAGTATTTCGGATTCCCCAGACAAACTTCATTCCACAATCACCCTCACCTATCATCTGGGGCTGGTAAAATAGGCCAGAAGTGGCCGCAGTACCAAGTGGACTTAGTCCCACCCCTATAAGGAAAAGAATTTAAAAGAGTTGTGTTCGAATCCTTGAATCATTCGGATTACTAGATTTAAAGCAAAAGTATTACAATTATTAGTGTAGTTATTTGTCCTGAAGATTTCTAGACACATTCTGTATTACTGGAACCCTGGAACGTTCGACTACGCGTCTGGCTATGAGAACTGCAACCGGGTTGCATCTCTCTCCACTTAAAGATGCAGGACAGTTAACACGTAATACTGTGTTTCACATGCGTTTATGCTGCAGTAAAGTGTGTAATTTTGGGAGTTGCCAGTTGGAATGTGATGTTGGTGATACTGTTCGGAGAACCGAGGTTTGCCTGGAGTTACTAACTCAGTATCCCATGGAAATTCAATGCGAAACATCTCCAGTTGTTACGTAAGGTGTAGTGAACTGGATTGCTTATATAAATTCCTTCTCTGTGCCCCTTTTATACCTTTGTATCTTCTTCCCTCTCCGTTTCCGTGTTCCGTTCGCATACTTTTTATTTCTCCATTCTATTGGCATTCATCGGGGCACGCGGTAGCCTATTTGGTTGAGACACTGTGCTACAATACTGAAGGTCGCGAGGTAGAATCCCGATGAGGTCACTGAATTTTACAGTTCACCTAATCTTTCCAGCCGTACTATGGCCCTGGGTTCGACTCAACCTCTAACAAAAATGAGTGCCTGGAATGTTCCTGGGGGGGTAAAGGGTGACCGGCGCGTTAAACTGACAACCTTACCAACATCTATAAGCCGATTGTCTACAAAATGTGAGAGGCTCGAAGTCTGAAACCCCTTTGGACCTTCAGGGCCTGTTACAGGAACAGCTTCATTGACATTTATTTCCCCATTCTTTCCACACTCTCCCTTATGTTACAAATTGATATGGAAATATCAGGCAGATAAAAGTGCTTAACTAATTAAACAGTACGTCATGAAGGTATATGATGGAGCGGGTATATAGATCCACGTTTTCTTGACCTCTGCAGTAGATGAAGGTGAATGGTCAGCATCACTCCCTGGCCGCTTTATTCCCGGAGAAAAGCCGCGGTACACATTGGATACGAGGCTGGGTGTGCCACAGAACAGACGACGTGGAGAAGAGGAAAATCTGGCCCATGCTGTGACTTGAACTCAGACTTTTCGGCTCTCCAACACGTAGCCGGTCGTTGTATCAAGTGCTCTAGCCTGACTCCAAGTATCCCTGAGAGACACTTTTATAATCATACGTAGAACACATGAAAATGTGTTATTGCAATGATATTTCGAGTCCGTTTGACAATTAACACCATCTGTCAGGCACTGAAAGTAACTGCGTTTTCCATGAGGACAGTTAATTGAATACTCACAGTGACACGGATTTTAGACTTTTGCTGGACCAGTTCCCGTCGGAGTCCCTCTGTCAGCGCTGTGACGGCGTGTTTGGAGGCAGCATACATGAAAGCGGCGAAGGGTGTTCCGTGACCAAGAACACTGCGCAAGTAGAGAGAGTTACATGGCTTCAATACAACGTGATTTTGGTATGGTGACTTTGACTGGAGAGAATAAGTTATAATGAGAAGGCTCGTGAAAATGTTTAGATCCGTGTCTCACAATGCTGTAGTGAAGAAATGCATTATTAATATAATTAACAGTACGATACTGTGATCTGGGATGTGACGCCGTATAATCTGCTATGAATTTTCTGACCCTTAGAATAAACGTACTAAATCTTTAGGGACAAAGACTAAGCGCAGGTAAGGGCCGCACCATAGCTCAAGCGGTTAGTCGCTGGCTTCCCATCGCAGCGCCCCGGGTTTGATCCCGGTTCTGGTCAAGTGAGATTTGTGGTGGACAAAGTGGCGCTGGGGCAGGTTTTCTCCGAGTACTTCGGTTTCCCCTGCCAATCTTCATTCCACCAATTGCTCCGCAATCACCCTAGCCTATCAATTGGGGCTGGTACAATAGGCCAGAAGTGGCTGCAGTACAAGGGACTTAGTCCCACCCCACTAGCAATAAAAATGAAAGCCTAGGTAACCACAAGCAGAGGCTCATTGCTTTCTCAGTGATTCTTTATGCTGAGGATGGATGCAGTACCTTCTTCTGAAACGGCGATGAAACTCTACCAGAGAACTTCAGAACTATCTCCGTGAGAACATCAAATCTCAAAGAGACAGAATCTCGCCACATACCTGTTAATGTTAATAATGTGACCGTCATCCACCGCCTTCTCCCGCATGCTCTGAATGGCTTCTCTTGTGCACATACTGAGGCCCAGAACATTAATGTCTATGATGTTCCTCCACTTCTCCGGTGGCCCGTCTGTAAACCACAATGAATTGTGCCTTAAACTGTGTACAGGAAACAGCTTCAAATTTTTTTAACTCAGTTTCAGGATTCGTGAAGTTTATTTCTGCTGAAAACAAGAATAGGATAATAGCTTTCTCTTTCTTCAGAGATGTATTGGCATGTAGTCAGGTGAAAATAAAACCAAGTTTCGGACAAATATATTTCTTCCATCTTCAGGTTCCGTCTGATGCCTGCTTCATGTTGCTTTCTTTCTTAGCTTACTCTTCAGCCTTGAAGCTGGAGACCATATGTTCCTTCGAAATATCGGTTGACTTTTACTGGATACGTAGCATAACATCCCAGAAGACAGAACTCTTCATAGTCACCGCTGTGAGAGCCCTCAAACCCAACAGAAATTGTAGAGTGTACTAATTTGCTTCACACTGCCAGTTGACGCTCGTGAGTGGAAAGTCCGGGTAGGCTGCTCTGTGTTACAGAGTCTACATAAGCTTGTTAGCAGGATCTGAGTAGATCACGAGTAATAAATTCCCTTTGAACATTTTTTTAGCCTGCTTTCCTCATATAAAGAAAAGTACATATAGTCCATTGCGAATGTCATGCTGTGTGTGTCTGTATATATTTTCGTCTCTATCGTCAGTGAAACGTTCTAAAGTGATTAGGTTTTCTCTTTGATATGTATAAAGAAAAAATGTTTTGTACGCTTATTTGGGTCCTATGTATAGACAACCTTTCATTCTGTGCATAGATATTCAATACATTCTATACAAGTGATTTTCAATTCGTTATTAATTTCATCCTTGCTAGTTTTCGTGTGACTCGTGTTAGGAACGGCATTATATCCGAAGAAATAAACGCAATCGCATATCCGCGGTCAGCCATAATAAACGAGAGACAGAAAGTCTTCGTCAATGAAAATGTGGCAGCAAATTGTTAACATTTCGTTCACAAACAATTTACCTGTAAGATTGTTGAAGTCGCATACCCCGGCATTATTGACGAGGATGTCCACTACACCCAGGTTTGACTTGACCCATTTGAAGGCCTCCTTAACATCTGATTCCTTACTGACGTCACATTTGAGTGGATGCAGCTTCCCTGGTTCAGATCGGAGCAACTTTGCGTTCTCCTGAAAAATTACACACGCATGAGCGTTAATGTGAGGACTGCAGAACGGATCGCAGGGTATTCTAATCAAGGCGCCTGCATCCTTCAGAGGTTGCTGTGTGAGTCGTGTGGTGCGCAATTAGTAAATGAAATGACCAAGAAGGAAATGCTATGTTCGGTTTGAGAATGTCACTGCGGTGGTTTTGAAGAGTTCCGTGTTGTGAGGTGCAAACGGCGTTATGTCCTAAACGGTAAGAAATCTTCAAGATAATCTTGCGTTGATTAAATTTATTACTTTGGATTTCACACTTCGTCCAAATTTATTAAAACCGCCACCATTCTGAAATAGGTTATGTTCCCAATTTCATTTGGTCTTAACGACAGCTGTACCAAAGTGCCCAACAGAATAGTTTTTCCCTCGTATCCTGTTCACCTGAAGACGCAAGTGAAACCAACTTCCGAAAGTCAGTGGTTTTAATAAATTTTGACGATTGAAAAGTCCAGAATAGAGTTTGAAACATCTCAATTCATAGTCATGAAGATTTTAGCGTAACAGAAATGTACCTTGTTTTCCACAGTACATCATTTTCAACACCACGAGCAAAAGAATATTATATAATCATTCTAAAATGTTCTAACGATGATATAGAACATTGTAGATTATGCATTTTTGGACTCCATCATTTGTAGCACTCTAAAGAACACAGTTTTTCTGAAAATGGATCTGTTTTCGTTTTCAGTTGCTAGCGGAGGACCTACTCTGTTGGGTCAGTTAGTAGGAACTAACCAGAATTACTTGACTTCAAGCGTCATGTTCTTTAGAATAGCAGATGATGTACAGATTCTAACAGTTCCGTAATCCTCATTATGAATTATGTTGTTTTTATCTTCTTACTGTGCTTACTATAGGATATGACGCCGTGTAGCCTCATAGACGTTCACTATTCAGCCGGACTACACGATGTTATATCCCATAAGATAGTATTTTTCATAATAAAATGTACTACAAATAAAGGGAAGTACGAAATCATTTAAATAATATAAAAATAATAATTGATGATTGTGTTGCCATATTGTATGTGTGCCAGTGCTAAATTTATGATGTGTTAATATGGAAGAACGTGCGTCATTTCGGGTAAATATGACAGTTGTATGAAAGCATAGACCTTAGTTTGAGTTAGTGTACTGCTCGCTCACCTCAACCCTCTCCACTCTGCGCGCCAGTCCTACCACTTTCAGTCCTTTCTTCACGAGTTCTTCAGCGATGGCTGCTCCTATCCCAGCACTGGCTCCTGTTACCACGGCAACACGCCCTGACCAACGCTCCATTGTTGACTTCACTTGTAATTAGTTTTTATAACAGAATCTCCCTGAAATTAATACACTTTTAGATGAGTTATAAGTTCTTTGAATTAACATGTACATTATTTAAGCTGGCACATTCTTGTCATCTTTAAATGTTCTGAAATGGAGCACTGTTTTTCATCTATGTCTGTTTTAAGCAGTGGGTCCTTTGTTTATTTAAGAACTTCACATTTTCAACTGCATGCGTTATTAAACCTTCGAAAAGGAGGACGTGATATTGGAAGATTTGCATAAGGAATCAGCCCTAGCCTTTTCAATGATATTGTCTCAGAATTTGTATGAAGAGGCTGAGGCAAAACATGTAAATCTAAGATATAATAACTTGTATCCTCTGAGGTATTATGCCGTGTAGTCCGATGAAACTTAACCGATGTTTCGGAGGAATATATCGCCTTGATCTTCAGCAGAGCTTGCTTTCAACTTCATGTTGTTTTTCAGCTTGGCCTAATCCTATTTTCTCCTAGCCATCTTTCTGTTTAAAAGCAGGGTTAAAATAATATATAACTAACAACCAGAATTAGTTTTCGAAACAAACTCCGTGGCCTGTAGCCCGCAAGCGAACTATACCGACCGAGCGACCGCCGCTTGTCGGCGAAGTTAGTTCCAACTTTGCAGATAGAGGGTGTCACGTTGTAAGCGCAGCGGATACCCACGACCGTTAATCTCTGTTTTCTAGGCCGGACCCGCTATATCCTTGAAATTGCTCCTCATTTTTCTTCACGAGGCTGAGCGGACCCCTTTCCAGACACACTAATTCTCAGAAAGTCTTGTAGCGACGGGAATCGACCCTGGGTCCTCTGTATCTCTAGGCATGAACTCAGACCACTAGACGACAGAGGCGGTCAGAATTAGTTTTACCGGCCTGAAATGGAGACGAATTCAGACCTTGTTAAGAAAACCTAATTGTCCCATCGCTCAATGTTTGGTTGTTTGTTTTAATAAGAAAATAAGTGTATACTCATCTAAAGTTATTCCTTTATCTAAAACCCAATCGTCTCATATTCAGACATGAAATGTGCATATATGGGGGAGTAGACAAGGTCCCAGGTATTGTGAATTGGACATTGCCACTGAGTAACATTCTTCCAACACAGTACATGTCTCGTTTTGTCTCCACAGACCTGTTGACACACCATGATACTTAGAGCACTGACACAACTAACTTAACTAAGCTCAACATACTTGCACCTTCTGGAACACCACTGCAGTTGTCGATCTGACTTTGCTGCTGACTAATATGAAGCCTCTTGGCACCTTTTTATGTAACCTGTAATCTGACATAAATTTGATGTATCACATCTGTACTGAGTTACTACTTCTTTCTAGTGGTGTAATACACGTATGTATGAGTTTGTGTTTCCTTCAACAGATAACAAGATGCAATATCGGTATCCCGCATTCACGCATGCGTAGATCTTATGCTTTGCCATCAGTCTTGTTTCTTATTCCTTTAAAGGACAGGCAGTTCCAACATCACTATATTCATGCAAGTCATATATTGACCGTTAAATTTAAGCATTTATCTTATCATGTAAGTTATACTGCAAACCAATCAGTTTGTTTGCACTTTGTTTCAGTGGCGGCTTGTAGCCAAAATTAGTGGGGGTGCTTCTCCAGAAAATTTGTAAACTTTATTTTAAAATTGTATAAAAGGAAACAAAAATGTATAAAAGGAAAATTTATTCATAGACTTGATAAATTCCTAAAAGAACAAAATCAAACATATTTTACTTACTTTAACCTAAATTGTTACAGTTCAAGCTTAATCTATTCATTTAAAAATGAAATCCTTTCGTTTAACCTTTATATTATGCTCATTGATTGAAAGTCTGTATGCCTCACTAAGTTTCTCCTTAATACTTACGGTTCCTAAATGTGACAGTGAAACTACATTATCAACGTGCTTCTTTGACTTCTCATGCTTTTCAGTGTTTTCTTTAATTTTGTTTATATTTCTAAAACCATCTTTTGTCCACGTTACATCACCCCCAAACAGCAAACACGGGAAGCAAAACAGTGCATTTTTTACTTCACAGCCGCAAAGCCAACGTTTCCGTTTGTACCATTCAGAATTAAAGCTACGAATATATTTCTTGTTCTTTCTTATGCCTGGCTGAGATATTAGAATATCAGGTGTTAAACGACCTCTTTTCCTACCTGCAACTTTCTCATGGAGAGACAGTTGTGAAAACATAAGCTGTTGAAGTTCACTTACAGTCACATAACTTATTTCTCGGGGATGCAAGGCCATGGTTAAAGTTTTCTGTTAAATAAAAGAACCGAAAAAATGAATCAAATAGAATAGCTGGAAGCAGGATAATAATCTAATTCTAAAATTAACTCATATTCAACAATATGGTACACGGTTTTTAAGCAAAACACACGCGGAATAAAAAAACTACCTTCCATCAGCACGCCAGGGTCGGCACCGGTTGGCACTGTCGTTCCTGCAGTGCTCGCTCACCCTTGCAGCCTCGCGTGTAGTTTCCTATGTGCGCATGCGCACAGTCAACAAACACCTCGCCGCTGGAACTGTGAAACGCACAGTTCCCATACAAAGATTTGGCTACTGACATTAAGCTTAAGGATTATATATTGTATTGTACAAGTATAAAGAAAGAATTAAAGAAAAAAGGACTCATTATATAAATTTTATCGATAATATCAAGTGGAAATTGGGGGTGCTGCAGTTCCACAGTGCCTATACGCGGGCCGCCCCTGCTTTGTTTGTTACTAATATTATTACACTGAATTGCATAATGTTTAGAAATCTCTTAAATTAAAGTGGCATACTATTGTGTTTAATGTAGTTGTCTAAACCTGAAGTTTTCTCTCCAGTTAAGCAGAATGAAATATTTTCGGGCAGTCACCTGATTTTGCCGGTCACAGTAGCCGCAAGGTCTAAGGCATGAACTCTCTTCGCTCTGACGCTGAGATCGCCTGTTCGAATCCCATTCAGATCATGGATGTTTAGTGTGTGTGTGTGTGTGTGTTTATTCTAGTACGTTTGCATTGTCCTTTGTTTAGGTACCGGCTCTGCGACGAGCTGATCACTCGTCCAACAAGTCATACCGACTGTGAAAAATGATTACAGAACTGAGTAAGGGGCCTGAGACAAGTGGGCTGGAAAAGCCATTGACATTTTGAACTCTGACGTCAGATGCTAACGAATGCCCGAGAACATTTCATTTATAGAATAGTCCGTCATGTGAAAATCGACGCTTTCCCTGAGTAGGTTCGTAGTATTAGGCTAATAATATCTGTATGTCTGTAGAGGAGATATTTCATTTCATTTTCTTCATTATTTTTGTATCTGCCTCATAATAATAATAATAATAATAATAATAATAATAATAATAATAATAATAATATTAAAAATAGGACAAGACATTCTGTTCCCAACATAGCCTCCTGTAAAATGGGTCTTGGTGACTTCTTTTATGCCATATACTCGGATCGGTCAGGGAGTGAAGCTCACCATTCACGTCGTTGAGACGGACTCAGATGGCATGATATACGTATCAAGTTTCGTGAAGTTTGCTTCAGCAATTGCAAAATTAATAGGGGCGGATGTAAAGACATACAAACGGCATGGTGACCACATAAGACCACTTTTACTTTTTCAAAATAAGGAAAGTCGGCAAAAATAAGAGTAAAATAATTTAATCACGATTGTATATTTTGTATTTATTAGACATATAACATTCCACAGTTTCTGCAGTTTTTAATAGGCCACTGCACAATATTCTTCAGACTGTTGCATCATGCCCCTATTACAGGGTACGTTTCGAACCAAGGTGTTCTTGGCTGGGCTTCTGCTTCTGCCCTCGCAATCCATCATAGTTGCTGCCCTTACCCTTGTTCTCCAACAGGCTTTATGATGAGTTCGTGGATCTGAAACGCAAACGGAAGTACGGGCATTTCGTTCAGGTATTCTCAAATTTCTTGATACAGCGACCCCGAAAAGTAATATCAAAATTTACGCAACCTCCTGTCCTCATCTCTCAGCGAAAAGTGCAGTTGTGCCATTTTGATCATGCCCCTAACATACTGTACGGCGTCAAGAGGAATCTAAGTAGCTGTACAGCCTCTTCACACCTACAGTAAGCTATTGTGGCATGACGGCTGAAAGTCGGAATAGTGGAGGGAGAAGAAGAGGCGGCCATAGCCAGGCAACGTTCCAACGGAAATATGTGCGTTTCTTAATTTATCTATTGTTTGTAATGTTTTGTACCTGGTAATGATCAATAATGAACGAAACATGTCATGTTTTCTTTTAGACGTAAAGCAAAATTAGTTAGTATTTGCTGTTATACCACGTACAGTTTTTCGTGTAGACGGTTAACCATTACGGTTAGTGTAGTAACGAATTAGTGTATAAGTGAATAGGCATGCAGATCGCATTTGCAGCTTTCAGAGATGATACAGTCACACATGATGTGGTGTCTATAGTGAACAGTTAGCAGGAATGCAATTTGTTTCCATGCAGCGAAGTATATATGGGCATACGAGAAAAGGAGTAACAAAAGAATGGAGGAAATTACATAATTAGGGGCTTCACAGTTTCTTATTTATTAGAGGAAACAGTGGACACAAGCGATCAGAATGGCTCTATCTCTTTGCCTGAGTGTGGCGTTGGTATCTGCTTTGCTGCAGTATGATTCTGTCTGTAATAAATGAACATCTAGGTTAGTGAACTAATCCAGAATCGTAAGGAACGCGTCTCGAAAATACATGTTTCATTTCAGGTCAGCTTTCGCAGTCGCTTTAGTGTATAGTCTGTAGATCGGCGTGTAGGTTATTAATGTTGTCAGTTGTGATGTGTATGTGAGAAATGTTGTTTTTTAGTATGCGACATGAACACAAATTATCTGTGTGAAAATACATCGGGAAAATATTTTGGTACTTCAGACATCTTTCCTTGTATTGTTCGTGTACGATTGTGAATATGATGCCTGTGTTTAATTAATTAAACGCCACACAGTAAAGACGAATGGGGCAGTGGAAGTACAATTGCACATATCCTTGTAGTTGAAAAATAAGTGGTCAGCCTCACGCCCGACCGCTTTAACCCCAGAACAAAAGGACTTTTTAATTGGATAACAGATTGAGTGGGCCCCAAAGCCGGTACTGTTGTTGGAATACGAAGTCAGACAAGTTATGTGGATTGGTCATATAGCTGGGATGGAAATGCATAACGACTTTTGGCAAGGAAACCTGTTCTAGAGAGTTCTAGAATATTAGATCGATCTTAGGGGGTTGAGTTGCAAGGCTGTTAGTTCCGGATCTTGTAGAATAGTGGGCTTTGGTTCTCCTGCTGCTGTTGTCTTGTAGTTAATGTTATCACCATCATCATGTGAGCAGTCACCAATTTGTAGATGCCTAAATATCCGGCGATTCTTATGTATTAATGTAAACAAACCAGTCATCAGACCCAAACCCAAAACTGTTGAGTTGGTAAGCTTTTGTTTAAACCTGAGCTATTTGTTATGAAGGTTCATACTCTTACCTGTACATGTGGTGGAGTTCCGAGAACATACATCACCGAATCGGCAACATCCCTAGCTTCCAGGAACGGAATATTCTTTAAATGTTCCAGAAACTCCTTCGGAACACCCGATGCTGCAATGAATTCCGTCTTAACCGCTCCTGGACTAATGCTCTGTCAAAAGATTAAGAAATTCTTCGTCATAATTGCGAACTGTTTTATGATGCGTTCTATTTTCGAATAGACTGAAACCTCGATAATCAGAAATAATTAAAACAGAGGCAGTTGCATAGCTGAATGTGTTAGTCGCTGGTTTCCCACCGCGGCGGCCCGAGTTCCCTCCAGTTCTGTTCATGTGAAATTTGTGGTGGACAGATTTGCGCTGGGGCAGATTTTCTCCGAGTACTTCGGATTCCCCTGCCAATCTTCATTCCACAGTCACCCTCATGTATCATCTGAGGCTGGTAAAATAGGTCAGAAGTGGCCGCAGTACCAAGTGGACTTAGTCCCACCCCTATAAGGAAAAGAATATAAAACAGTTGTGTGTTCGAATCCTTGAATCATTCGGAATACTGGATTTAAAGCAAAAGTAATGACAATTTTTATTATTGTTATGTGTCCTGAAGATTTCTAGACATATTCTGTTTTATGAACAATTACTGGAACTCTGGAAAGTTCGACTACACCCCTGGCACTGGGAACTATAAGCGGCTTACATGTCACACCACCTAATAATGCAGGACAGTAATATTGTGATTCACATGAGTTTTTACTGCAAGAAAGTGTGCAATTTTTTAAGGTGATGGTGGTAATACTGTTCGGATAACAGAGGTTCCGCTGTAGTCACTGATAAAATATCCC